GGTAAATTTTTGAAAACCCTTAACATTATTATAATTTAAACAAATTAAATTTGATCCTGCTTAGTTTGAGGCTAGCATCAACTAAGACAGCTAACATCAACACCCTCTCTTTACTGAGCTGTCCTCATTCATCCCCAAATCCAGTTCTGCTTTATGAGGCATGCTGGTAATGAAGCTGCTCACTCCACTTGTCTGTCAAGACACCAGGGAATAAGTGAAAAGGATGACAGCCTCACCCAGTGCATGCCAGGTCAGGATTTCTTAAAACCTGGCTTCTGCAAACCAATTAAGTGTAGTCTTACAAGTAAAAAGAGAATCCAACTTGGTAGCTGACTGTTCATTAATAAAACACTATACTTCAAACTCATGTTTAAGCTTACTCCACACCTAAGTCTGCCATTCATAGCAATACGACCATACGTTTAAAAATAAACATCAAAACCCACCATAAACTTAAAAATAATAATTTAAAAAAGAGCACTTGGAAAGAGTATGGCCGGATTTAACAGAGAAGCTGTGAAAAAAGAACAACTCATACTTGCAAGAATTCAGGAGCTGCTGCAAAGTCTGGAAAAAACAAACTGGTAAGAAAGCGCTGCACTTTTAAAATCTGGATTCAAGCCAGAACAATGACATCAATGAAAAACTGTAGATGTCAGGCAGATAATTCTGCAGGCAGAAGAAAGACACGCCCCCTTCCCTCTATCCCAAAATCTTGAAAGACTTCAGCCAGACATAATCAAATCCCAAAAGTGCTCAGACAGAAAATGAAGGAAAATTACTCATATGTAAGCTTTACAAAATACTAAAAAAACTGAGTTAAGCAACAGATCTGACTGGCAATTATTAGTGCAATTGCTTGCAACAGCAAAGCTGCAATTTCTGCATCTGTTGCACAGACAGACATCCAACTCTGAACAGAAGTAAAACATACCTAAAATGATTATCTGTGACAACTATTAAAAAGTTACTCAACTATTAAGCTCATATATAATTACCGTACATTCATGGTGCTTTCTTAGGTGCTTTCTTATTTTATAAGGCTGGCACTTTTCCTGTGACTGACCGAACCGAGACAATTTAGGGCACTTTAACTCAGAAGGATATTGGCATAATATAAATAGACCTAGCAACAGTTATTCCTAAGATATCACATTGCAGATGCTGTTAAAACCAACAAAAAATATTCCCGAGCAATTGACATCTCAAACTGCAAAAGGAAATTATCCCACTGCAATGCAGACACAGTGAAGATACACACCCCAAAGGAACTCATTTCCATCAATTCCAATGCATTTTCCATAATGCAAATGAAAACGCTTTTGTCCAATAGCATGCCAAGACATGCACACAAAACCTGTATCTTCAGTGGTTCACTTCACAAAGTGGATGGTGCTTAGGTGGGGAAGGTGACAAACCATGAGATAGAGAGTAAGGGATAGGCTGTTAGAAGCAGCTTGCTTAAATGCAGGATTTGAAGAAGGTATGATTTAATTATTTGAGGAGTACTCCACAAATGCTTTTGATCACAACATAAGATTAAAAAGCCTAGGCTTTTTTGGCATAGGAGTATATAAATTTTTCTTCAGGATTATGGCAACCCCACTAGGGTACCTACGCTCAGCACATCACACCCCAGCTACCCTGTAGCCCCAGTATTCTCCATCTAGCTGGCATCCACACCAGATCCTTCCATCTACCACTTGCCACAGATGTGCCAAATCCCATTCCTAATCCCAGCCAGATTGCCCCTCATGGCTGTGGCTTGGCTGAGATGCACCTAGGGTTTGAAGGACCAGCAGTGGGTATGGGGAGTGGGAAGGAGAGAGCCACAGAGGAGACAGCAGGAAGACATGAGTGCTGGCTGGTAGAAAGCATCTTCCTGTTCATTCCAAGGACCTTTAATTTCATCTCACATGTGGCAGGATCATTGCCAAAGGATCAAAAGTAAAACAGTGCAAGAGCAAGCCAGCAACCTGCAGTCCTGCATGATATCATGAGCTACCTATGCACTTGATATTGCATCAGAAGTACACCACTGAGGCTACCAAGACAACCTCTCCACAACTGGATAATGCAAGTATTCAAGCTGTTGTACTGTGTCCATTAGGCCATCCAATGGGGATTGATTTTTGGCAACAGGATATACCCAACTAACTATTAGTGGTAATAAGCTAGATTGCTTTTAGTTTCAAAGTCCTGTGCAGCCTTAATGCTTCATTTGTCACACCTCTCAAAAATGTAACCTGTCCTAAATTGACACTCACTTCATATTTGTTTTTTTTTTTATAGCATTCTTGACCTTGGTATCAAACTACTGCACACCAACAGTACCCTTCCTGCTTCATTCTCAACACCTTCACATCTCTAGCTCAACCTCAGTATTTTCCAGAAAACAAGAAAAATACCTCTCTGGCCAAAGCAGCAGTACTTTGAATACAAAGCATCACTGTGCCTGTCAAATGAAGCAATACACAGAGAACATATCAGTCACAGGGAACATCCCAGTCACAGGGAACATCCCAACACTCGTGTGTTTGAAAGTTATGCAACAAATAAGCAAGGACTCTACACATTTATTCTGACTTCCTAAATTTGGAACAGCTGCTTCACAAATCCAGCAGTCTTCTGAATGGCAGCATGAGATAAACCAAATACAAACAAAAGGTGGAAAAAGTTTAGAAAGAGACCAATACACATAATTTAGTGACAGGTCACAGCAAGACATGGGGTATTTCAGGATCTCACAAGTCTCACAACTGCTGTCAATGAACTGTAACAAACTATTCTTCAGCAGCACTTACTAACAGGGAGTGGAGTAGCCAAGTAAGAAGTAACTAAGCTATTCCTAAAGGGCTCAAAAGTATGCAAGAATAGCAATGGTATGCAAGAATATTTCTAGTATTGTACCTCAGAAACTATTCTGGAGATTTTTGGGATCAAAATAGCTGGATAGGAGGCAGGGAAGAAAATTAGCCCATTGCTGTTATGAATTAAGGTCTTTCTGAAGTGCAGCCCTGCACCTTCTATTTTTGGCTGGATCATTTTTAAGGAAGTCACATATTTAATTCCTGAATAAACAAAAGTCACTAAAAATATTTATTTCAAAATTTTATTTGCCCAAAGCAATTACAACTAATTTATGTCTTTGACAAATATCCCCCTAGATCAATCCTTCCAATAAAATATGACACCTCATTTGTGATTTAAAATAAAATACTTCCACCAGCAACCTATTGTACTGATATATCTCTAAAAAAAGATACAACTGTGAGTTCTCTGCAAGTTCATCCAAAGTCCTAACTCTTGAGGGAAAAAGAGAAAGTGCACATCTGAAACTAATGAGAATAAATACCATTGTCAGTGTAATTAGTTTAAGAACCTGAAAGTGCTTTAAAAATGTTCACTGGTTCACCACCTATCCAAACCAATAAGCAGTGTTCATCCTGTTACACATATTTAGTGAGTAAGGGACTGTAAGGTCTTTTTCTTTTACATCACAAAATGACTCACTGGCAAAGTCAAACAGAGGTGAAGCTAAAGACACATGGAGAAATGCAGCTTGAGGCTCAATTGCTCATCACCACACCCTACAAGTACCTGATTTACTAAGGTATCATTCATCTCACCTAGTCCAAGAACATGATAAATTTGATAATCCGAACTCCAGAACATGCCACCTGTGACAGGGCAAGATGCTAAGCCTGGTGCTGCAACTACATCATATCAACCAACAAGGGAGCCCCATTAGTGCAGACAACTTCTCACAATTTCTGTTCCTCAAAAAAGAAAAGACCTCTGTGAAAAAATCTTGAAGGAAAACACCTGCATGATCAGGAACTTTTCACTTTATTTTTACCAATCATTTACTGGCTATTTCTTGTGTGCAAAGCCAGTCTCCTATATGAGGTTGGTTGCACTGTCTGGGTAAATATTAAGGAGCAGGGGAAAGTGAAAACTTTCCAACTGAATACTACCACAAAAACCCTTTTTAAATTTTATTAGTTTATTTTCAAAAAAAAAAAAAGAAAAAAAGGGAGAAAAGCAGTGACATTACTACTTCTGCTACACAATTCCCATTTACCCTTGCAGACTAATAGGTCCTCACGGACAAACAGGCATACATCATCTACATACCAGGCATGTAAATACTTCATGTAGCCACTAAACTGCAGGTTTTGCTACATGCAGTGTAATTAACTATTTCTGCGTATTTTCTGCTCAGAAATTGTTATGAAGTTCTGAAGGACAGTCATAACACCATGTCTTGTGGTCTGCAATGCAACTGCAGATCTTACATGTAATCACACATCTCCAGAAACAGTTTGTTTTCCAACTATCTAGAGAATGAAGATTACACAATACTTGAAACTTGAGCCTGCCAAAATAAGTTGTTATAAAACTAGCTGCGCAGCCTGACACATCACCTTGAAAGAAAGTAAATAACATTCTCCTCAGAATAAACCATAGCCTCAAACAGTCCTGCCAGGGGATCTGATCCATGCCTAACCGATGCTGCATAAGAGTTAAGATTTGGTTACATTTTTCTGTCTTTGGACAGAGGCAAACTTACTGATCTTCCCAATTACTACTTTAACACTGATAGGACATTCTAAGTTCATTTAAACCATTCACAGGGCAAAGATACACCGACCCACCTACCATCAAGCTACTTTCTAACTTTCTCAGTGTTTTCCCTGCAAACAAAAGGTATTCAGTAGCAGAGAACATACCCTTTTGGTCATGTGCATTGCAGAAATACCAAGCAGAAACCAAATTAATTGCTTCACATATAATTACAAAAATATGCAGATATTGGTTATGCCTTTTTAAAAAATACAGAGCACAGTCTACAGCCTATGCTGTAATACACACAACACCCCAGGGCACGATAAGCTCTTTATTAATGCTTGCAATAAAAAGAACACTGCAGAACAATTACATGCCGTAGCCATGGATTTCCACAATCAGAGCTCTACCAGCAGCCAGTGTGTACTCACAAGGTGTTGAGACCTCGGGGGGAGCGATGTTTGCAGCAAACTAGTGGAAATATTTCCAGTGGAGTTTTCAGGTGATGTCAACAACAGGAAAGATGACTTTGAGCCAGATTTCCATTTCTCATCAGACGCGGCCTTAAAAGTTGAAATAAGAGCGTTAAGACTCCTCGTTTTCACCCCCAAACCTGCAATCGAACCTCTACGTCGACACAGGCTCCTGTAGCTACGCGGCATCCCGGAGGGTCCGTCTCTGCCCTACAGGGGGGTCCCTCCCCGGGCTGGAATAAGGGAACACTGTCACGACTGCGGTCCGGGGCACTGGCTTCGCCGCGATCGTCCCCAGCTAGAGCCCCGCCACAGCCCGGCCACCTCCGCCATCACCTGCGCGGCCCCGCCGGGAGCGCCCCCTCCCCGCGCGGCCCCGCCGCCCCTCAGCGCTGCCCGGCCCGCCGCAGCCACTCGCAGCCACTTGCAGCCACTCGCGGCCACTCGCGGCCACGGCGGCTCGGGCCGGCGCCGCGCTCACCTGCGCTGCCCCCGGCGCCGCTCCCGCCGGGCCGGGCCGGGCTCGGCACTGCCCCTCCAGCGGCGCCTCCGCCGCCGGGCCGGGGCTGCCCCGGGGGAGGCGCCGCCGCCGCCGCCGCCGCCGTGGCCGCTGCGAGGGCGACACCGAGCGGCCGCGGCGGGCGGCAGCGCCCAGCGGCCCCGCCAGCAACAGGGCTCTGGCCGGAGCAAGGCTCCATGCGGGTTGGACGCCCCCCTGGACCGAAGCTCCTTTGCAGCTTAATTATGGAAGCTCATAATAATTTGCGTGGGAGCAAAAGCACTACAAAACTACAGAATCAGAGTGGGTCAGGTTGGAAGGGACCACAGTAGGTCACTTGGTCCAATCTCCCTGGTTAACCAGGGTTGTCCCAAAGTACGTGGAACAAGACTGCGTCCAGTCAACTCTTGTCCCTCCAGTGAGGGGACTTCCAGTCTCTCTGGGAAATATGTTCCAGTGTGTAGTCATCCACACAGTAAATATGTTCTTCCTTATGTTCAGGTGAAACTTCCCATGCATCAGTTTCTGCCTGTTGCCTCATACCCGAGTGGTTGAGACCACCAAGAAGAGCCTGTCTCCATCTTCTTGGTAACCTCCCTTTAGATATTTATACACAGTAATGAGGTCTCCCTTCAGTCACATCTCTGGCAACCAGGCTCAGCTCTCTCAGCCTTTCCTCATAAGACAGATGCTTCAGTCTCCCAATCACCCTTGTTACCCTCCACTGGACCCAGAGCAGCTATATATCCCTCTTGTATCGAGGAGCCCAGAGCTGGACACAATAAAATTTCCCCAATTTCAGGGAGGCCAGATGCCCTTCCCTCCAGCAGGGAGCCAGTCAGCAGGCTTTGAAGTCTGAACTGAAGGTCAGAGAGGGACACCTTGAAAGCTGACTGTGCCTGCTCAATGCTTCACCCACCCCTCCAGCTATCACAATATCACTGGGACCTTCTGCTCACCCCAAGTCATACGTTTTTGTGGGCTATTATGGGTGAATGTCAGTAATTCACAAACTGCTAGGGAGGCAGGTTGGACAGGACCAGCTGTAGACACTGGTAGAGCACAAATGAGTTTGTAAGAGTAGGCTGAGTGAAATGATAAAAGTGGGATTGGGAGAAGGAGAAGAAGAAGAAAACAAGCAGCTGTTCCCCATACAATGCTTGATCTCACAGGCACATCACTTTTAAAGGCTGTTTCTCTAGCTTGAAGGCATTCTTAATTAAGGCACCCTAAATTAACTGATGCCATAAACAAACTAAACATTGAAGTATCACAGTTACTTCCTAGTTATGTCATGGATATATTCTTTTGAATGTTTTTCAGACTATTCTACTTACACCTTTTTCACTAACAATTACTATGGTAGTCATCGTTCTGTGGCAATAGTCGTACCAGAGGTTCACATCAAAACCCTTAGTGCTCCCCAGGAAAGACTGACTGACTGACTGGATTTATTGTTCTGATGCCTCTTTGATCTCATCAAGGCTTTGTCAAAACTACAGCATTAATCTGAAGTCTGGCGTCATTATTTAAGTTAAAGTGCAGTTGCTAAAACACATAAAAACACACTGTGATTCTTCACACTATGATTTCATTTCCTCATTTCCACATTCAGGATAGGCTTACTTCATGTGAATTTTATTTAATTTTATACTGTGCAAAATTCTAATGTAGGAATAGAAGTATTTGTGTGAGTAACAGTTAACCTGTATGTTAAATAAGTTCCATATATGTAAAAGTTGGTAGAACTATTTTATGTTTGATCATTATGACCGAGAAACAAGATCTAGCACATTGTAGAAGAAAGCTTTCTTGGCACAGGTCTGTCACCAATGTGACATTGTGAAATTTCATGGAAATTTTCATTCTTTAACAAGAACAGGATGAGACCCTATTGTGATCCTGCAAAACTAGGTGCAGATAGGTCGCTGATTGTGTGGACATCAGTGGCACAATTCCCTGTGCTTAAGTAAAATTAACCTTTTCTAATGTAGACAGTTGGTTTTGTATTCTTCTGGATTTTTTTTTCCCTAGTGAGGAGAGAAATGAATCACACAGAAAGAATATAATGTTATATGAACTGCAGCTCTCCATGGACAAAGTCCAGTCACATCTATCACTGTACATGTCATATATGCAAAGACACAACCTCTTATTTACCTCTGCCCTTACTGCAAGTCCTGTGACTGAAGGCTGGGCACTGTTTCATTATGTGCACCCAGCTTCAAAGTCAAGTGACCTGACAAAAAGGAAAGAAGAAAAAGGCAGGGGGAACTGAAAGCAATCTGGTGGCAAAAGGACCGAGGAGGAGCAAATCCTGAGGCCTATGTAGAGTCCACAGGAGATTATATTGCTAAGGAATTGGCATAAATGCTTCAGCCCTGCTCCAAAAACCTATCTGGCAATGGGCCTGGAGTCTATGTGGCTTTGAATCTGAAGCTGTGGTCAGGTAGGAGGTCACTGATGTCAGTTGTGGAAAGGTTGTGGGAAGAGCTGCATTGCAAACAGTCCTCTTTTTTGAGTTTCTACACCCTGATTTTGTATTTTAAAATATCCAAATTATTCAGTCCCTCACTAGTCATGTTTCACAGTTCTCTGTACAGAAGAAACCTAACACAGACATTTCTGGGCAAGACCCCCTATCCAAAGCTGGCCTTGAAACATAACTGCCTTTTGTGCACGTAAGTGATCGCCTGGTGTGTGAGACAGATGGTCCTTCATTACACACCTGGAAACTCTCTTCCTCTTTCCATCAGTTTTCAGCAGGCTAATGCCTGTCAGAGCTGTCACAAGACACAATGCTGAAAACCTGAGTGGAAAAAAAGTCCTGCTCCAAACCTAAGTCCTAATTCCTTTTACAGGATTTAACCTTGAAAGGTTTCCCATAATCTTTTAGTACATTGTTAATCTGTTCAAGCAAAACTTCCAAGCAGGTTGGTAAGCTGAGAATAAAGGCAGGCCTTTCAATAAATTTGTATATTAATAGGCAAGAGGGATTTCTCCCACCTCTGAACAGATGTGTACCTCCTTTATCTACGGTGGGTTAGTGCAATCTGGAAGGCCTGGCGATAAGAAGATTGTCATGCAGCACAGAGGTCAGAAAAATAATCAGCTGCAGGAAAAAAAGAGAGATTCCAAACAGAAGTCTAATCAATATACTGAATGCAAGGAGGGAGAACGGGTCAGGAAGAAGTAGAAAGGAAAAAACAAAGAAACAGAAACAGAGGAAAATTTGGTGCCGGAGAATCTGGAATTCAGCTGCCAGTCACCACAGTGGGCAGCATGGGATGACAGTCAGGGACTAGCACACTCTGGAGCTTAGACTGGTACAACATTAGAAGAGCAGCACTGGAAACTCCTGAGAAGGAGCCTGGGTGAGAGGCAGGAGGTCTGTCCTTGCAGAGCAGGCCTGGAAAAAGCAATGGAAGGGAGATGAGGGCACCTTGGTCTGTCAGTGGCATCAAAATCTCAGCTTCTTCAGAGATTTCACTACTATGTCTCTTAGTGTTCCTTATTAATCAAGTTAATTTTTTCTAAAATAATCTCTGTAACCCATACTGCAAATACATTACCTCCCATGATCAGTGCCTAGCTTAACAGTTTGGGCTTGTCCATGTGATGACAGTCAGCATGGAAAGAGCATGGGACAGGGCAGCAGGCAGTGCTTGGCAGATGGGAGAGCTGAGCAGCACCAAGCACACACTTGTCCTACCCATGTCCCAGAGTCTTCCACGTGCTGAAAGTGTGCACAGATGATGCAGGAGAGTTCCATGTCTGTCTTTGGAGTTTGTGCAGGATGAGGTTGCAGGACATGACCAAGAAGAGGAGGCTCAGGGGAAACCTTACCACTCCCTTCAGACTGACTGAAAGGAGGTTGTAGCCAGATAGGGGTCAGAGTCTTCTCCCTGGCAACCAGTGACAGGAGGAGAACACATAGACTTAAGCTGCCTCAGGGGGGATTTAGGTTCTACATTAGTCACAAAATCTTCACAGAGAGGGTGATTAGATTCAGAATGGACTGTCCAGGGAGGTGGTGGAGTCGCCGGAGGTGTTTAAGGAAAGACTGGAAGCGGCACGTAGTGCCACGGTGTAATTAACATGGTGTTCAGTCATAGGCTGGACTCGATGATACCATAGGTCTTTTCCAACCTATTTGATTCTGTGACTGTAATGATTCTGAGCAGGGATGCTTGTAATAGAAACGCCAGGTGCCATCTGGTGCCGCTGCCGGGCACACCTGGCCACTCCGCTCGCCCACCGCGGCGCCCCGCACGCCAGGAGCGGCGCCTCGCGTGTGCACCGCTCCCACGGGTGTCTCTTGGGACAGGAGGGCCGGGCGAGCGGCGGCGGCGCTCGGACCCGCCGGTGAGCCCGCAGCGCCGGGCAGTGCCCGCGGCGCCGGGTGCCAGCGGCACGGCCAGGCTCGGAGCGGGCCCGGGCGGGCGCGGAGGCCCCGGCGGCCCGTGACCGGGCGCGTCAGGTGACGCGGGTCACGCCGCCTCCCCGCCCGCCCCGCCGGCAGCTGCGCCGCGCTCCGCCAGCGCCGTGCGGGGGGAAGGAGGGGAGCGGCGGCGGCGGGCGCGGCGCCAGCGCGGGACCTGCGCCCCCCGCGCCCCGAGCCTGCCGCAGGCAGAGGGGCCGCCCAGCCCCGCCAGGAGCGCGGCCGGCATGAGCCAGGTGCCGAGGAAGCTGCCGGAGGAGGAAGAGGGGGACGAGGAGGAGGAAGAGGAGGAGGAGATCGTGGGCTTGGCGGGCTACGCCGACGGGGCCGAGTCCTTCTCGGACGGCGACGCGGAGAGCGGCGGCGATGAGGCGTGTGAGTGAGTGCCGCCCGCGGCGGCCGCAGCGGCACCGGGGGCGGCGGGGCGGCGGCCGCGGGGTGCGGGGGCGGGGGCTGCTCCCGGGGAGCCGAGGGGCAGCGCCGGGCTCGGAGGGGGCTGCGGAGCGGCGGCCGGCAACGAGTGCGGGTGTGCAGTGAGGCGGGGCGGGGGCCGGGGTGAGGCCGGGACGGGGGCGGGGGACGCGGGGCCGCCGCCAGGAGGTGAGGTTTGGCGGCCCGCGGATGTGGGTCAGGGAGGAGGCGAGGCTCCCCGCGGGGTTTCGGGCACGAGGGGAGCCGGGGACAGCGGTGCGGGGAAAGACGAGGCGTCCAAGAGGAGGGCAGGCCCAGCTGGGGACGGGGTTGGGCACTGGGAGGCCGGGCGGAGCGAGGATGCTGCGGAGATGGCCATGGGAAGCCGGGACGGAGACAGGGTGCTCGGTGGGTCAGAGGGTGCGGGAGGCTCTGAGGAAGGAGCAGGGCAAGGCTGACAGGTAGCAGGAAGCGTTGGGAAAGAGAAAAGGCAAAAGGAGTGCAGGCAAAGTGTGTGTGTGTGTGTAATTTCTCATCAGTATTCTTCAAGTCTGGGGTAAGAGTTATTAGTTATTAGAGGCCACAGCTTGATGATGTGACCCGACAGTGCCAAGGAGGTGGGGGGTCGGGTGTCACGCTATAAAAGGCAGCGGCCACACGCAGCTCTGTGTCCGGGGCTGCTCCGCAGCTGCGAGTGTCAGTCCCACAGTGGCAGGCTCTGCTAAATGTCCGTCTGTCTGTGCTTGTGAGGAGCCGCCTTACTCACTGCATGTCCGTGTCAGGATGGATGGTGATGCTGAGAAGGACGGGCTTACCAGGAAAAGCAGTCTCATTCAGTAGAAAAAGGAAATGCCAGCTCAGAGCCTGTTGCGTTCATTCAGAGCCTGAATTCATTCTTCTGAGACATATTTCACAAAGGAGCTTGGAGAACTCTTAGTATCACAGGATAAAAAAGAAGTGTTTTTTTATAAGAGCATAATAAAAGGCCACATGTTTTAAGTCTACTTCAATATTAGCGTGCAGAACCCTCCTCCTTAAAGGCCCAGTCCTCTAGGCTGCCATGGGAGGTGCTGCATTTGACTAATGTAATTTTGGGGAGTGGAGGAAGGTCAGTGCTTTGACTATAAGCTTTCATGGTTAAAAGCTATAGGAATGTTAGACTATAAGAGCTATAAATGAGACTAAATAAAGTCTTACTTGAACCTGCTAAAGAATTGTCTTATTTTTGATGCAAAGAGAATAAATTTTAACGTGTTTCTTTAGTGCTACACTAACTTAGTATTTTCTGTAGAGAAGTAACCCATATATTGTCTTCAGACAAATTCTTTTGGATATTTTTGAATAGGAACTTGTTAGACTGCTAAAAATTGCAATTGCTTCTTTATAGTAACACCAGAATATTGTACTTAACAGAAAAGAGCCTTTACATCCTGAATAGCAGGAGAAAACAGTCCATAAAGGGACTGTTTTACACAGAATTAAAACAAAACCCATTCTAACTGTCCAGATTCCCTGGTTTTCTGTTTCATTTTGAATTCTTTGGAGAAAGAGGGAGACAACATCTGAAATAGAGGGGATTGGGATTTGGATCTGTATTTTGTGTAACACAGGGCTGCAGGGCAGGCGGCTTTCCCCCTTTTTTTTGTCCTCTTTTCCTGGCTCTGTACAGCAAGTAGTCCAAAATTCAGTGTCAGTGTCAGTCAGAATGAAAAGGGCACTATAAGAAGAATAGCTTCAATGCATGGCTGTTAATAGTGAAGAGAGAAGCTAGGCTTAAAAGTAAAAGAATAATTTCTTCTTGTAAGCATGCAGAAGATTTCAGAACTTCTTATTTGTCAACCCTCACCCTATACTGGGTTTGTGTCTCCAGCTTCAGTGCTGAAATAATTGTCTTTCGTTTACACTTAGGGTCATATTCAGACACCTTAAAACACTTAAATTTACATAAAGCATAATCATATTTTTTATAGATGCAATTAAAAAGTCTTTAGAAGCAGGACAGTCCTCTGCAGAGTGTCCAAGGAAGTGGCTTTAAGACATACCACTGCAGAGTGGTAACTGCAGAGTGCTGCACTTGTGGCAGCTTGGAACCTGGTCTTCTGGAAAAGATACTTCTGAGACTTTTCTGTAGCCACAGGAATTTCCTTCCACCAGGTGTTTCTGCAATGTGTATGAACCCACAGTAGCTGAACATCCTTATTCATTGTATACAAGCTTTTTCTGTTAACTCTTTAGTCTCAGGCCATGGGTTAGCATTGAATTTGTTCATTGCATGTGTTTTGTAAGGGCATTGTCTTGACAGCAATCCAAAGTGCTACAAATACCACAGTCACAGCAGTACTGGAAATGCTACAGGATTAATGGGTTTGAAGGTAAGAGCAGAAAGTTTGTGACTGTTACCTCTCCTTTACACAGAAATGGTTAAAACTTAATATAACTGAATTAGTGGGGGAAAAAAATCATCATTAGCTGAATTAGTTCAAAACTAGACTCAGAGACTTGTTACCTTGCAGATGGTAACATGAGCAAAATAATTCCTTTTGGTTTTATGTTACTTGAACAGATGAGCTGTGATGGTTTATTTGGATGTTTGAAAGCTGGTGGGATGTACAGAAAGTGGCATCCCCATCTCATACTCCCGCAAAGCACGGGTAGTCACCTGCTTTGACAATTAATTGCAATTGATTTGGAATTCAGGATGGGCTTCAAAAACTGTTTCAGTTATCTCTATATATCTAATAGCATAAAGGAGATACTGAAGTATTCATTGTGTACTGGGGAGACAGGTCGGGACTGCTACGTGGCCGTTCTCACCTCCTCAGAGCTGTGCTCTTCTGCATGTTGCAATGCTTGCAAAACACACTCCATAGTCAAGGACACAGCTGCAGTTAACAGAAGTTTTGTGATGAATTGAGTGCTTTTCTGTGAAAGTGCTTTTAGGTTTGTTGAATTAAATTTGTGAATACTTCAAAGGAATGGCCTCTTACCAGTGTGGCTTCTGTTTTTATGGCTGCTTAGAAAAGCTGAAATATGAAGGGCTGTTGATATGCATTAGAGTCTGGCATTTTACAACATTTACTCTTTGCAAAAGTGAATGAAGCAGGAAATGTGTTGCATCTCACAAGAGGGAAAATTATCTTTCCCGTTATAGAACAGAGAAGAGTTTAGTGTTTTTCTTGGGCATATTATGATCTCACTCAGTAACCTAGTCTGGGAAGTTGCAGTGATACATCTACTGGCATTTCTGTAGCAAATTAAAAAAGGAGTTGTCATGTACTCCTGCAAAGGAATGTGGGCAGGCAATGCATCGTCCAATTCCTTTACATATAAGGTAATCTCTTAACTCTCTCTGAGAGGGAAGTGCTGTAGAAGCCTTGCTATCTCGTCAGGTTTGGATGATACTCTTATATTTCCCTGTCTTTGAACTGGCAGAATTTCAAAAGCTAAGTAACAGTCTTACTAGCAGAAGAGCTGGTCATCATTCTTCTCATCCTTAAATCTGCTTGCAGTTGCAACTGTATTTTTTTTTAGTATGGCTTTAATAGAAAGCAATTTCCTTCTATTAAGCATTATAATCAGTACAAATCTAACAGCCTGGAATAATTTAATACCACAATGTAAAAACTCCCAAATTGTTTAAAATATTTCTTCAGATATATGCAGGTTTTTAGCTTGTTTCTCAAAGAAAAAGGAGTTAGGTATGTAGCTTGTCCTCTGGTTGTCTCATCAATGGCCAGAATCTTGGAAAATGCAATCTACCTTCAACCAAATCTGAACAAAATATGACTGAAAGGTTATTAAGTTCCCACAAGTTTGAGGAAAACTGGCATTCAGAAAAGAGGAGAAAACTAAATGAAGCCTCCTCAGAGGGACAAGTGAGCAGTTTTGTGTGTTCACTGTGGTAGCAGCTGGCAGACGGGTGTACACAGACTAGCCAACTGAAATGTGCTGAGCTCCAGATCAGCCACAGCATGTCATATCTATTATTTGGAGGAGATGTCATAAGACATATGGGAGGAAGTTGGTGTTATTGTGGTGGGAAGAGGAAGGGGACACAAAGTACTAATCCATGTTAGATGAGACTTTGTAAGTTCAGTTGCATACAGAACAAATGGGAGGCTTTTTATTATTTTTTTAACATGCAATAAAGCCTCAACTTGAAGACTGTTCTTTACATGCTTTTATAAAGTCTTTATAAAGCTTTGAATAAATTATTTTCTCTTCTGATGGCAAAAAAAAAAAAATAAAATAAAGGAATGAGATGAAGGATACACCATTAAATCTTGTATATTTGGTTTATTGACAAAACTGTACCCCCAAAACATAAAATACCTTTACATCATCTTAGTGCAGGTGTTTGTTATTCTTCTGGAGGTGTGAAGTATTGTAGGCACATGTTTCTCCTAGCCACAGGAGGTACTACCTCTGTTCAAGCTGATGGGAAGAGTAGAGGAGCATGCTGACCTCAGTTTCTTACTTCCTAAATTTGTTGTGTGTAGACCATCAGAAGTGGCCATTGCTGTGTTTACAGGATGAGATTCTTACAGTTACTTATGCCTGCTCTGCCTGAAAGCGTTTCCCCTGTGCACTACTCCTGCCTGGCAGTGTTCATGTGTGATAATTGGTAAGACCACAGTAAGTGGTAATACCTGCCAATTACCACTTTCAATTGTATTTGAAATAGACAGGATCCCTCCCATAATGAGTTGAAAACTTCTGTCAGTCACTGGTGACACGGACCTGCACTGAATGGTACAACCTCTCACAAGCCAGTAGATGGTGCCAGGAGATGTTTTCTGCTAACACTGCAATACTGTCAGTTTCAGAAGCCCTACTTCTCTCTCACTCAAATTTGGGAGGCACAAAGAGACCTGGATAAGGTTCTGTACCCTCCTGGCAGACATACTGTGCCCCTGCGTTTCTGAAAGCTGTGAGTGAGGCTTCAGGCACACAAGAAGGCACAAGATGTGGTCACCACCCCTGGGTGCAAAACATGCCCCTAGGCAAAGAATTCCTTTAAGCTTTCCGTCTTTTTTTGGCTGATAAGACTATGTAATAAATTGGCAGGTTTGAATTGTTACTGAAGTTTCTTGGTTTGGATTTTCATATTTTGGGAGTAAAGCTGACCACGTATGCAGGGCACATTCAAGAATGATGCATATGAATGTGTGCCAGATAAGTTTTGCAATTCAAAACTTATCCCAGCAGAAAAAAGAAAAAGAAATGCAATTATGTTGTGCTATGAAGTATAATCTGAATAGTCTGTAGTTCAGTGGATAGGAGAAGGTCTACCAAACCTCACTGGATAGTATGTTTAGCCTGTTGTGTGGTCAGGTTTAACATACTGACACAGAGGTCAGGTTTAAAATACTGAGTTGTACTCTGTGGATTTAGCACTGACAACTCTTTTATTTTGCCCTCCTTATGTTTGACATGGCAGAGTCATAGAGATGTTTCAGAGCATTTTGTATATAAGGGCAGTGCCCTTTCACCTCAGCACCAAAGGACATTTCAAAGTTCTAGGCCAACTAAATGCAGCAATTTAGACTGCTTTGGGTGTTTTGATTAGAGATACCTGAAGCTAAAGTGCCTACAGGAATGGATAGCTATATATTCATGTCCTTACAGATATAACAGCATAGTTTACTCTTGGAACTACCTGATGCTGATATAACTGCATCAGCACCAGAAAAAGTAGTGCCAGTTTCAAACTGGGGTAGGTAACACAATGAAACCCCTGTGTTCCCAGGCTTTGTTTTGCAAATAGGCAGATGATATGCTGTAATCTTATTTATTGGGTAAACAAACCTTTACAGATTGTAACACAAATTACTGAGCAGCAGGTGAAATCCTAAGCACCTTAGAAAAGGACTCCTCATGAGCTCAGTACTGTAAGCAACATAGAATCACTGTGTGTCTGCTGAGTTGATCTCTTCCTGTAGCTCCTTGCATGTATAATTTCATTTATTAATTTATTTATTTGTTGATTGATTTTAGAGAAAGGAAGCCCTCAGGTAGAACGATCCTGCAGAGGTACTTAACAGAGTCTTACTCTGTTCTTCCAGCATAGTGATGTAGCTATCTGCTGCAAAGGGGTATTTATTATCAGATTATACTCTTTTAAAGGAGAATATATGTGGCATAGTGTTAATTAGAATAAAATTAGGCATTTAAAGATGTCTATATGTGATAACAGACTTTTCACATACAATTTCTGCAGTTTCTGTCTTGGAGGTGAGAAGTAAATTTTCTGATAGTATACCCTCAGGGGCAAATAATTCAAGTCAAAATGCCTATAACACTGCTCTCTAAGCTTAAACATTGGTAACATTTGCATAAATTAAAATAAAAATTTATGAAAATAAATATCAAATGCATGTTATCTGGCAGTTACTAATTATATTGCCATAGTATATTCCTTTTCTTCTTGTGTGATTTTATTCAGTTTTGGATTTCAATGATCCCTTCAGTACTGAAGTTAAGCCAAGAATCCTGCTCATGGGATTGAGAAGAAGTGGAAAGTCTTCCATTCAGAAAGTTGTCTTTCACAAAATGTCGCCGAATGAGACTCTCTTCTTGGAGAGCACAAACAAGATCTGCAGAGAGGATGTTTCCAACAGCTCCTTTGTCAACTTTCAGATATGGGATTTTCCTGGGCAAATTGACTTCTTTGACCCTACGTTTGATTATGAGATGATTTTCAGAGGCACTGGAGCACTGATATTTGTTATTGATTCTCAGGTAACAAAAGGGGCTATTTTTTTTTTCTTTCTTCAGCAATAGACAAATGGGTTGGAAAGCACAGGTTTTTTCAAAGCAAATAAATAATCTACATCACAAACACACATTAAAAAGAAGTCATTACAACTTGAAGAGCTGCTTGGCTATTTTTAATCTCTCTCTGCAGTGTGTTTGGAAGTTAACTAATTTGTTTTAACATCTCAAGGTTCTTGCTCAGATTCCTAAGTGCTGACAGCATGAGATTGGTGCACATGCTGGATGTAGGCTCAGGGTTCTACTTATAAAACATTAAAAAAATCAAGCTGTTGTTGAGCTGTAGTACTATTTAAAAATAAGTATCACAAAATATAATATATATATATTTTTAAATACTTTCCTAAATTGTAGTTCTTCTTTTTCCTTTATTAGGATGATTATATGGAAGCATTAGCTCGGCTGCATCTTACTGTGACCAGAGCCTATAAAGTGAATCCAGATATCAACTTTGAAATCTTTATCCATAAAGTGGATGGTTTATCTGATGATCATAAGATTGAAACACAGAGGGATATTCACCAGAGGGCAAATGATGATCTTGCAGATGCAGGATTGGAGAAGATCCACCTCAGGTGAGAAAAGTTGCTGTGCAGAGAATGCTAAAGAGGAGAGCAGCTTATTTGACAAGTTACCATTGTCTGTCCTCTTGAAGTAGGGGGCAACATGCTTTTGATATATGTAGGAAAGGGATAATTAGAGATACTGCATTTGACCTGAGCCAAAGTATCCTGTTTCTGATTGCTGTCTTGAAGGGAAAGATGGAGAGCTGCTTAATAACAGATGCCAGACAAACATGCCAGAATCCTGTCAGGTTTTGCTGCAGTTGGTGTCTTGAAATAAGTTGGCTTGGACAGTGACAACAACCAGTAGAGTTCCAGGCCATGGAGTGTATATGCCACCACATCACTTTTGCCTTTTTTGAAAGCTCTGTGCCACATGGTCCTCTCCCAGTCGCTCGTCCTCACTGCTGCAGACTACATGGAGCTGCTTGGGAAGACCTGTGCTGTATCTTTGACTTGTGTCTTCTGGTAAAATGGGTTACCATAGCAAATGGTGACAAGCAGTGGATTTAGCTGACTGGGAACCAGAGGACATCAAGTTGTCATGGCTTTCTTAGCACTTGAAAGCCAAGTACAAATATATTGCAAAGAGAGGCCTGCTCCATGAACATGCCAGCTCTTTAGTGCTCTTAACTACTCGACTACATCACTACACTGATAAATGGGTCCACAGCTTTCAAAAAGTAGATCACAATAGGCATAATCAGTAATACTCCTCTCCTGAAATTTGATAAATATTTTCGTAAGCATACCAGCATGGGAGTTGCATTAAAAAGTTCTACATTGAGTTATAGGTTTCACTGTCAAGGCTGGGGGGGTTCTTCAATGTAGAGATTTAGTCCTGTGTTTCAATCATATCATGACTTTTGATCACAGGGGATAATTGCATTAGTGTAGGCACTTAATGTCTGACAATATTTTAATTTCACTCATATTATGAAAGGTACATCATGTTCACAGTATGTGGCTAAAAGGAAAATGTGGTGACGTTTTTTTCCAGCTTTTATCTGACAAGCATATATGATCATTCTATATTTGAAGCATTTAGCAAAGTGGTACAGAAACTGATTCCACAGCTCCCAACACTGGAAAACCTGCTTAACATCTTTATTTCAGTAAGTACTTACTATGTCCTTTGTCTGTAGATCTGGCTGTGTCCAACATGCATGTTCAGATACTCTGTTCACTGCCTTCTTAGAGATCATGCACAATGTGAACTCTCAGAGAAATTATCAGAACTTAGTTGAAATGCACCTCCATGCAGCTTGGCATCACCTCCATGTCTATTAAACAGCATTGATAAGCTGCTGAGATACTCAGAGTATTACCTGAGTCCCGTAAAGTGGGGTAGCAGCCATCACTTTTCTGCTCAAAACATCAATCTGAATGTTGCAAAAGTCTGTGTTGCATGTATTTGTTGAAGTTGCACTTAAACCTTGTATGAATAAATATTTAAAGGAACATAATCTAGTCTGACCTCATATGGGGAGCTGTCTGTAGTGCTTCCCAGAATTAATTTTACTTTGTATTGGATGTTTACCGAGCTTAAGAAAATCTTCTTATGCTGTGAAATTTTTAGACAGAGTCCACCACAACTTTCACTGCTTCCATAGTTACTCTGAAGGCCAGTTAGAGAGTTTTGTATATCTAGTGGTTTGTTACCACTGTGGAAGAGATTGCTTGCTCCACTCTTCCTGTATGTCTGATTCCTTCCTTTCCTTTATACTGGTTCTGACACTCATCTGTTCCCTCATGGGGTTACTATACCATGCATTTATGCACTGTTTAATTTAGTTAAAAGCAGGTGATGGACGAGCCCAACATGCTCTTGTTCTGGCACAAGGTAAGAGATGGAAACATGGAGCAGCGAGTGAAGGGGAGCACAGTGAGTAGGTTGTGAAAAGGGGAAACTCCCTATTTTAGTGGTTGTTATATCAGGTCCTAATGGCTCTGAAAACTGCACCCTTTCTCACAATATTCTAATTATGTGCTTAGCATCTAGCTCTTAATTTCTGAAGCTTCAATTTCCAAGCAAGATACTTTGTTGTGTCTTCTTGCGATTTTGACATAAGAAATTATTTAATATCATTCAACAGCCTGTTGATATTATTAGTTAATAATAAAATATTATTAGATAATAAGAAGATACAATTAGAGCAATTAGATAGTGGTTTTGGCACACAGTCTTACAGAGAAAGCTGGCTGAATAATAGTCTTCCCTGTGCCAGACCCACTCCAGTCACTCTGTGAGTTAGATCTCTGTATGGAGTCTCCTCACTGTTTGGAGTTGATGAAGGGTTTGTACAGAATCTCCACATGAACTGAGCACAGGCAGCTTCCTGAATGACTGATGACAGTTGCTTGTGTGTCTGAACACCCAGCTCAATCACACCTACAATATTAGGTATAGTTTGTAAGGAAGAAAAAGTATTTCAAATAAATGGGATGTCCAGAAAAGTGAGGGAGGTGTGCTGTTTCCCCTGTTCAGTATGGGAAAAGTGTCGAACTGTTTCTTTGCTCCAGTTTCTAAATGACCAAGGGCCATGTGTAGCTGCATCACTATGTCCTCAGCACGGTTGCTGTTTTTACAAGTATCTTCTGTCTGTAGATAGAGAGACTCGGAATGATTATTTACAGCCACAGGAAGATTAAGCATCATTCTCCCTCATACAGTAAGTTGGGGGGTGCATCTTTACCTTGGCAACTTAGTAACAACAAATTTTGGCATGGATTTTGGTCACGCCTTACCTCAAGAAGGCAATGTGTTGGATATCAGGGCGTTGGTGTTTTCATGTTCTACTTTTGAGTTTGCAGCAACATTCACAAGGAAGTGCTTTCATTTATGCCATGGAGGCTTCCAACACAAAAAGCTGACGATTACAAGAATAGTTCTGCGATCACTTTTAAGTTCACAGCAGGTTTTTTCCCAAGTTTATAACGCCACAGTGTGTGAGCATGTTTGAGGAACCATCAGTGTATAATATTGCTTCTGCATTCTTTAATGTAATGGCCTGTAATTCATTAAATAACTGGCACTAAAAATCCACATTAATCTTACCTGACTTACCAGCTTCATATAGAAGGATGCCTGTTTCTTAATTACTGTGGCCTTATCAACCAATTAAGTTGTGTGACATGGGAAAGCATATTTTCATTTGAGGGTTGTTTGGTTTGTTTTGAGGGATATTAAAAAGTATGTATTAAGACAAACAATTATTATAGTAAAAATAAAGCAATATACCGATTTGATAATTATTTAAATTTTGTAATCTGCAAATTCAAATGTAGTGATAAAAAATAATTCATGAAATCTGCTGTGTGATGTAAGGCCTCTTTAAATAATTGTCCAAAATTCATTACTAACTGGATGTGACTGGCAATATCCTCTTAAGTTCTTTTGAGAGTTGCTTTTTAGGGCCAAATTCTGGCTTACTTTCATACATTAAAGATAGAAAAAGATAGGCTTGCTTACCTATCCTAGGAATTGGAGGAATGCTACCACTTTTACTGAACTCATTCTATTTAAGTAATAGAAACTGTCTTCTACATCATCACACCCCATATAGCTGAGAAACATGGTTTGAATTTCAAGTACCTCATGGTTTTTACCTATCCAAAATAAAATCTCATATATTCATTGCAGATTTTTCACAATGACTCTTTTGGTCAGATTAACCATGGAATATTCTTACATTGATTCAGAGTGCCTTTAGCACATGTTGCATCTTCTCTGCAGACTGTAGGTTGCGTCAGAGAGAACTGGTGTTTATTCAGATCCTGCTTTCATTAAGCAATGGCAGCCTTTCATTCAGTAAGGAACCCACCAGCTCCAGTAACAGAAACAGTTGATCTCTTATTGTAATTTTCCCTAAGCAGTAATGATGTAATGTCTCTTTGAACAGTACTTTTTATCCACCTTTTCCTGTTTTTTCTATGACTTGTTATTATTGTTTCTGCAATTTCTGTTTGGGGTCTTTTTGTGGGCTAGGGGTAGCAGGTGGAGGGTGGAGTGTTGAGTAGTTTCCACACAAAAATTCTGGGAATTTTTGACATAAGATCCTGGAAATCCTTTGACTTTTCGGTTACAGTTGTATTAAAAATCCTGCCAAATGAAATATTTGAAGGCATGTGGGTAAATTTAGTGGTGACTACTCCTGGGAGTCCATCCTACCATTTCACAGAGGTTTCTATCACCATACAAAGTTCTGAAGAAGCAGATATGTGCAGTTTCTCAGCAGGTCTACCACAATGGATCAGTTGCAATTGAAAACAAGCATAGTTTAAGTTAAGAGACCAATTTCTGCCCTTAACCAGCAGGTGTAACTGCTGGCATGGCAAAATGTCTCAAGATGTTCATGGCAAAAGTTCAGAAAACTTTCTGAACTGTCACTGCAAGTACAGGCAGGCTGCAACACCTGGAGCAGTGAGATGAAAAAAATCACTTCTCACTGGTAAATGTTACTGTTGTCACTGGCATCTTAATAATTTAAAGTGCATCTTACTTGTACAGCTGAAATTGTTGCTATGTATCTCTTTTTGTAATACAAAACTGTGTGATTGACTTCTCAGGAATGACACTGCAGGGCTCAAGTGTCAGCTTCTGTCTGAAATGACTTGTATTTTCAAGTACAGTTTTGGCAATGAGTTACAGCTATGTACTTACATGATATTTCAAAAGATTCTTGTAATTAATCTTATTTGACAGCATCTGTTGAACTGTGTGATGTGCTGTCAGAATTACTATTTGAAAAATAAAATTACAGAACTCCCATATGTGGCCAGAACAAACAGCATAAATATGCATACATTTTTGTTCTTTGTGCTCAAAGAACACAAACTCATAGAACCTTGTATGCTGAAAGGGATGTTTAGAGGTCCCTTTGTTTTTAATATTTTTTTATTACTGATTAACTGAAAGAGGCCACTCAGTCTTTTCCATTATGAAATAGAATAAATTCACCTCTATATTCTGTTATTACTAATGGATGTTTGCAGCCTTAGCTCTGTGTGTAGTGATGAAACAGTGACGCCTCTTTAAGAAGAAAATGCCCAAAATACTGCTGGCCATTGTTCAATAGCATATGTAGTGTTGGAAATTTTTCTGCCTATTTCAGGAAATATGGAAAGCAGGAGAGTCACTTTAGTTACTTAACTATATGTTAAATAGTTGACTTAGAAAAGAAGGAAAAAAATGGAAAAGTTCTGGAACTGTACAAAAGAAGCTTAAACTATTAAAACTTGTTAGGGACTTTCAGTGTGGTTTTTGGTGGTTACAGAACTACTGTGGCACCAGTCCCAAACCATGTTAAAATGGGAGTCCCATGTATGGAGACAGTTCCATTGGATGGAGAAAATTGCTTGTCTTCCCATATAGATAGATACTGAAGAGTATTTTAGAACTTGTGCTTTAGCAATACTGGAAAAAAATTGCCCTTTGTCATGCTGGGACAGCTGTGCAGGTGTAATCCTTTGATGTCAGCCTGCAAGGCTACTGTTTTCAGTTAAGAAGTACACTTTTTTTCTTTTTTCCAGGAAGCAGAGGCTTATGGCAGTTTACCTTATCTACACAAAGAGTAAGAGCTAGCATTCCTGGCTAGCTTCTCAGAGCTGTGAATATGATACATCTCCAGTAAGGAGAGTGTCTTAATCAGCTTGGCAGGAACATAGTTGTCATCATTTTAGCAAGCTTTATCATTTTAAACATAGCTTTAACTACCGGTACTACATGAAACCTGAAGGCTCCATCACAACACTGGTCTCTCTCCTGTGATCCTAAAATATATTTTACAGAACCAGACAGTAGAACAGCTACAGACTGCAATTAAAAATTTTCTTAATTTCCTTGGAAATCAGTTCCTGAGCAATACTGTCTTCTTTGTCAATCAGCATTTTCTTTCCCTTCTTTCTTATCTTCTTGTATGCCCAGTTAAAATAACTTTAGATTACAGCTTGCTTTTATGTCTGTTGCTACAATTAAAACACGAAAATCTTGAACCCTCATTTTCCACTGAAAAGAAATCTCTCCAGGTGAAGAAGTTTGGGAGTGTTACTCAGCACTATGTCTGCTCAGAGGCAGAAACTGTTGGAAGGTTTGTGAGCATTATGGTTTGCTACAAATACAACAGTACTGTATGTACAGTGCTTTCAGAATGAGCTTAATTGCAATTTAATTTCTTTAGCCTAGACTTTTTGTATAATAGGCAAGTAAGGGAACAGGAAAACTTGGGGTTGATTTGAAAACATGGATTCCACTTTATTTTTCTTTTTTTTTCTTCTCTTGAATAGAATTCTGGGATCGAAAAAGCATTTTTATTTGATGTAGTCAGTAAGATCTATATTGCAACAGACAGCACTCCAGTGGATATGCAAACTTACGAGCTCTGCTGTGATATGATAGATGTTGTGATTGACATTTCTTGTATATATGGGTAAGTAAATTGTGAATGTTTTCCATAAAGCTGTGTACTGAGAATCTCAATAGCCTCAAAATTTCAGTGATGTAGGTGTAAGCAATAATGAGAATGGATCATTTGCCAGGACAGGGGAAGAGAAAACGGCTGTCTTCTGAGGGACTGATCCTTCCCAGCAACAAGCATTGTTCCCTGTTCAGTCTCTTGTGAGCATCTTCCTCTTTCTATGCTAATAATTTTATTTGGAGGAAGAAGCCAGAAGAAACCAACCTAAAATAAAATGAAACATCATCTTTTTGTACCCTAGGGATGAAATCAACAGAAAGATGCCTCCTGTTTCAAAAAAGAAGTGGGGCCATATTTAGTTTTGTTTAATAGCCAGTCGCCTCTAATAGCCTCAGAGAGTTGTTTTACTCTCACTTCAGTTTGTCTTCTATTCCCTACAGGACCTTTCTGTGTTTTTTTCAATTTCCCCTTCTGGTACATTAGCAAGTGGAAACCTTCTAGGCTGGCGTGTACATCTTGTTGCAAGTTATATGTTAAGTGGCTTGGCCCTTGGCCAAATGTAATGCCAGCCATTCCTGGGAAAGGCGGGGCGCATTAAGAATTAGTGCACCAAGGTGCTTACACTTGGAGGCCAATGCACAACATGCTCAGAGAGTGGTAGGCTGGGCTAGCTTTGCATTTGTACCCACTGACAGACTTCTTGCACTCTTAGAGGAGGTACAAGGGAGAGTCCTGGTGCACATGTGCAATAAGCACTGGAACAATAAACAAAAAAATTTTAGAAATCTTTGAAGTTTGTATAAAATCTTTGAAGTTTGCATATTCTACCATGTGTTTCAGATTTTGAAGTCATCACTGGTTTTACAGAGGTATAAAATAAAACATGCTGATTTTTGTAAAGAGAAGGATTCTGCTATGTAGTTCAAAAGAGTGTGCATTTAATAATTATCTGTACAACACCACCTGTGGAACTTTTTATTTACAAAATATCATTCTTGCGCTGTGGTTGTGTAGCCATTTAGCATTTATTACCAGAGATCTGCTTGCCATTTTTTAGCTACAAAGACAATATTACAATTTATTTTTTGTCCCCTGTTCATGGAGCTTCAGTGGAACTTGCCACTTTAAAATATTATCAAGACTAATTGTTCTGGGAGGTTGGTGATAACTATCCATTTAACAATATCTGTGTGTGCATTCAGGAATGAGGATAAAATTACAGTGTTACAGTGTATAAAAACTGATCATCATGACACAGCATCTGTGAATGAGAAATCTCTTTTCATAATATGATGTTGCAAAAGCCAGCGTCTCATGAGGAAAGTCTCATGATGTCTTAAACTATCAGTCAGCTGCTACCACTCAAGCAAGTTTACTGGGTTTGGAGATATCAGTACAGACCTACTGTTTCACATGTTTATGATAAGTCATAATATAAAACACTGATTAAAAGAAAAGCAGCCTTATGGTAAATGGGTGGTAACTTACAGAGGAAAAAGTAAGGTTCCAGTTCAGGAACTTGGCAATCTGATTTCTAGCCCCAGATCTAAGGTTTGCTGTGTGATGTGATAAATAATTTAATCTCTTTGTCTTCTTAGTTTACTAGTGTGTAGTTTGAAGAAGAGTCTCCCTGAAATCCTAAAATGAAGATTTCATAAAGTTTGAGAATCTTTGGTGAGAGAAGCTATATAGCAGTACTTTTGTTAGCTAATCTGGTGTCTTTTCTTGTTTGTTTGAATACTGCTCTTTAGGCTTAAAGATGATGGCACTGGAACTCCTTATGACAAAGAATCAATGGCAATCATAAAACTGAATAATACAACTGTCCTTTATTTAAAAGAGGTGACAAAATTCCTCGCTCTTGTTTGTTTTGTCAGAGAAGAAAGCTTTGAGAGAAAAGGTATTTTCCCCCTTTTCTAGTATTGCATTAATTTTCCCTTATATTAGTGAGTTAATGAATAACTGAGGTTTTCATTAGCTGGTAACAGTTAACTGTATCGTAAATATTGAGGTAAGTACAGCTTGATAAAGCTTACATAACATTTTTAAAGGAATGAAGGTACTTGTGCAGGCATTAAGATGGGATGAAATCATAAACATATTTAACAACTTTCTGATACGAAAGCATTTGAAAGTTTACATCCAGTGCAGTAAAGCTTCCACCTGCAACTGCAGACTGTGTCAGTTTATCTTGACTGACAGTGATTTGTACCTGTTGACACCAGCATACACATTTGGAACAGCTTGCCTGTCATAACCAAAGGAAAAACTTTGAAACTGACTGGTAGAATGTTGTTGCTTTTCTTATATCTGAAAGGAGGCTTTTGAAAACTGGCATATTTAGGACCTAGTCCTAATTAGGAGTGCTTTAATATTTTGCAGTTAAAGTGCGTAAAATTTCTGTCATCTTTCTGACCCTGGTCAAAGTCAATACTGAACCCTTAGTTCATGACCTCTCTGCTCACTGGCACAATGTTCACTGAGTTGCTGGTCTTTGTGACATGCCCTGAGACCGAAACTCACCAGCAGAAGAGCAAGCTGTCATCTGGGCTCGTATGCCCCATCTTGTGATAGTAATTTCACTAGTCAGTGTTGGTGTATTTGTGAACACAGCACTTGTACCATGTCTGCTGGGCTGTTTGACAGCCTGTTGAGCTTTTGATAGAACTTAAACTGGTCAAATGTCTCTTCCATAACCCTACCACCTTTATTGCATATGAATGTTGGATACAGTTGCTTCCTGTAGAAAACATAAGAAGTGTTATTTCTGCATACTTACTAACAGCACTGTTTCAGAAAGACACCATGTTGAATAAACATCCATTAGGGTTTGTCCATAACTGTGTGAGGTTGTTGTGTCTGCATAGTTGGGACACTTCTAGCCTTCACTCTTCTGCAATACTGTTCTGGTATTATAGTGGAGATGAGCTTTTTGTGCCTCAGGAATTCCAAGTAAATTTGTGTGAACTACAAGGAGATGGAAAACAATTTCTGGGAAATAAAAACCAAAGTGTATCATGGTGGATTTAAACCACTTAAAAATATGCATCTCCTATTAGGGAAACTGAAGTGGAAAATGCTGCAGTATTTGAGTTAAGAAAGCTTATGGCATTAATATTAAATGAGGTCATGAGCTCAGTACCAAAATTCTAAAATTATATTGTGGTATTACAGAATTGTAGCACTCAGTAAGTCTTCCAATTGACTACCAGTATGGCTTTACAGCTTTTCTGTGGGATTACATTCAGCCCACTGACACAGTAATGTTATCTGCCTACTATGTAAGTATCTAATCCAACAGCATGTCTATTGTGTTACTGTTTAATTACAGTGTAAGATGAAATACAACTGGCTGAGATTTGGTCATAGTTCTATCAAGTATCCATTTCAAAGTTTATGTATTGTCAAAAAACAAATATTTCTTGATTAATAGATGGTACCTATTTTTATCACAGTTATTCTGTAAAGCAGATTTCCAAAATGACACCATATTTTATGGAAGATTTCAGTTTTTCTTCTAGTATACTGAGCATTTCTTCAAAGCCCTTTATTAAATTAACAATCTGTTATCTGCCAATGAACTTCTATTTGATTTATCTTAAAACGTATAAGCATATTTAGTAGCAAACATTGTATCAAGCTGTAATACTTACTGAATTATTTGTATTTCTCAAATGTGCTTTTGCTTAGCACAGAAAAAATTCCTGGACAGTTCACTGAATGTGACCTCCAGACAGAGAGTATGGCATTTCACTAAACACAGAATATAAGCAATGTTTTCATTACCTTATTTATATGAATATCTTTGTTAATATGTAAAACATTTGTGTCTCTGTAGGATTAATAGACTACAATTTCCATTGTTTTCGAAAAGCCATACAAGAAGTATTTGAAGTAAGAATGAAAGTAGTAAGATCTCGAAAACATCAAAGCCACCTGCAAAAAAATAAAAGACCCACTCCCAATGGGACACCAAGGATGCCACTGTAACTGAGGTTTTCTGTCAATGTGGCAAGCAAAGTTTTCTTGAAGTTGATGTGACTTCTGCATCTCATTGCACTGAGTGAAGAGGAAAACAAATGGGACTGAAGTATTATATGAATTTTTCCTGAACGTTCAGAAAGCACTGTTTAAATATTTTTATCCAATCAGTTTTTTTCATATAGTGAGCACTTTGAGCAAAATGTTGTATATATAAACATTGAGGTGAGCACTTGTAAGAATTTTCTTAATATATGCTGTAAACCTTTTTCATGCCATATTAAGGAAAAACAGCTGTGACAGAAATACTGGGTACATAATTTGCACTTTTTCATGTTTTCCTTGTGGACTTGGACTTTGATAAACTTAGTTTTTATGGTGATTTTGATGCATGGTGTCAGGTAAAATGTATGCTGTAGTTTATTTACCTGCTACAATCAAATTGGTTAGTAAACAATTAAGAAAACTTGGTACAATGCCTTTTTAAATTTGTGACAGCTAATACGTAACATTCATACAGATCTAATTTCATATATTTTTCAATTTGTAAACTGAAGAATAATATTGAAGTATTACAGCAATAAGCACCTTACCAGGGATCCTAACTGGTAGGTAAATATTAGCTTTTATAAAACAGGCTTTTGGCCAAATTTCATCCGGCATTCTCCTTAACACTGGTCGTGCCCTCTCTTGGGTCTGGTTTTATTATTTACCTCAGCATATACCACTAAAATACCTTTCTATAAAGATGATTGTTTTGTAAAATGGCTCTATGTTGCACTGGTATTTTTATAAGGCTTCAGAAGAGTATGTTGTATCTGTACAGCTGGATTTACATTGCTAAGTTTGTGTCAAGAGCCTGCACATGTACAGTTGGCGCAATGAAGAATCTGTATGTATTTCCACCCTGGCATTCTGATGTACTGATAAGTCATAAAGGTGTGAGCACTGGGTTCTGATTCCCTCTATCAGGGGCACATCTGTGATTGAAATCAAGACGAGACCATTAAAATGAGGACTGGACAATCTACCTGCCATAATAATCAGCATACATCACTACTTTTTATTTTAATATTGAACATGGGCAGACTTACCATCAGGATCAGCCAGGACAGCAGAGGACTCTCAAACCTAAAAAGAAGTAACACTTACTTTCCATGTTCTGTATTCAGTGTTTTTGTTTAATTAGTGATACAAAATTACAATTTCTAGGTGGAAGGGAGACACTAATTTTTACCAATTGCATGTGGAGTCTAATGGTTTTGTTGGCAGCTTTTTGGAGTGAGAAGAACTTGACCAGAATGGGAGGCAGCTTGCTGTAATCCAGAAACAGGTAAGGGAAAATGTACCTTATGCACAGCTAATTTGCCCCTAGCCAAAACAGTTCTGGAGGCGGGCAAGAAAATAGAACCAATGGCTCTGTCAAGAGTTGTGTGATAATAATGCAGTTCTAGGGGCTCAGGAAGGTAAGAAATACTGATAATAGTAAAAATCACTGCTCCTGGTGCTGGTGTGAAGAACAGTCACAGTAGCTGTAGTTTGGTACTGTCACCACCTGTCATCTTAGTTGATGGCAATTATTCTGACTAGGTCCTCAGTTAAAGTAATGCAAAACAGTTTTCAGAGTTCACCAAAGCAGTCATGGGTAAGAGACTCCTTTTGGCAGCTTTACAGTCCACATGACTTTCATTGAAGGGCTGCCGTAATTTCTGGCCATGTGTTTGTCCTTCATTTTGTTGAGAATTCCCCACTGGGTCACAATCTCTGTTCTCCCTTCACCCCACCAGGTGTAGGTGGCTATGTGGGACTACGAACACCTACCAGGCTGGGCCAGATTTGTTTTGTTTTTATGTGTGAATTATCTCATCATAGAGGCTATGCTATGAGTCATAACTAAATGTAGCTTCCATATATTTGGCCTGAGTTCTATGCAGCCATGCATGCAGTTGTATTAGAGACCATCAACTTGTTTAAGACAGTGAAGTTGCCTCTTGTAGTCCCATCTAGAATCTGGAACAGACTATCTAGCATAATTTAGCGAAGGTGACTTTAGCCAACATAAAACTTCCGATTTGATATTATCAGAGTAAATGTAATTTTCATCAGATTACTTATGCTTCAAATATAAAATTGAAAGAATGTTAAAAATTCATTCGTTTTAGTGTTTAACTTTGGTATTTTCAGGTTAGGTGATAACTCATTTCCCTTTTGAGTAATCATTTTCTAATGTTCTAGCTGAAGTGATTGAACGCTGGCTGAAGCATGCAAGGTTCTTTTTACAAATATATTTTAAAACTTGCTTTTACTTTAAAAAATTATTTTAAATGTTATTGAGATTCTAGTTTTTATTTTAAAGAAATTAAATACCCTGTGTGCTACAAGAGCCACTTAAGGCAGTGTTGATATACCTTTTCTAAAATTAGAAACTGTGGAAGAAGTAATTACTTTCCAAATAGTCCAGTATTTCTAAAGTACCTGATCCATGAGTATCCATTTTTTATTTATCATTGAAGTTGACTAGAAATGGTAGGGACCATTAATGAACAAGCCATGTCTTTTTAAAACACTGATTTACAATAAACCCAAACCAATTTAGTATCCCATAGACATTTTATAGTCAGGAGCTAGATAAATATAAATTATTGGTTCCAAGAACTTGTTATAATTGAGGAAATCCCTGTAAATAATTCAACAGGCAGCAGCTCAGAGTGTGTGAAGGGTTCTCTGAAAAGTTCAAATGCACCTTTGAACATGCACTGGAATGGATATTAAAAATGTTACAATGCTGGAATATGTTTCTAAAATCTGGTGATTACCAACATGCTGTGCATTAGCATGGAAGTGTAATTGGCAGGAGCAAACTAGTCTGATAAAGCATAATTCAAATGGATCATTTGAGCTCTCATGTTTCATGATAGAACAGGGTTTTTTCTCTAAAACAAAAATTCTGTGGTTTCTTGCATGTGAAATTGCACTCCTGATGATTTGATACTAAGGGAGCTCATTCTGTGCTGCAGCAATTTTTAAAAGATATGTTGACCTATTAACTCCCTCCATCTTTATATGCATCATCAGATTAAGTGGAGGAATTAAAGAAAATAACCTGTAATTGTATACAGTAGCAACTGTTTGCTTTAATGACATATTTCCTGTGCTGTCCTTTGCAAGTCATTGTAGAATTTAAGAATTTCTTTCTTAAATTGAACACTGAGGTTTTCCTGGTTTTGTAGTGATAATGTACATGACATCATGTCATGATTTTTGTGCTGCAGCTTTGTCCCATTAGATGGACAGATACATTAACACCAAAATTTCTTACTCAGATTTTAAATGTTTATCAATAGCTGCACGTGAATTTACTCAATTAGAGATAAACACATCAAATTCCCTCATTTCAGCTGTGTGAAAAATCAGAAATAAGCTTGGTTGGGAAGGTCTTTTGGGCTCCTCTTATATGATGGCATATGGTTTACATCCCACTTGATTTCTCACTATATTAATATTTGCATATTAGCTCATGCACATATCTTCAAATAGCTGCATTTAAAAATGACACTAGCAGATTGGTGCTTTTAATTTGTTTTCTCCTTGGTATCTTCTGTGTTACCTTTTTCAGTTTGCTATCTCTGAATTTCACACTTTGCTGTAACCAGGTCTGATACCCAGTCTCCTTGGTTCCTGCCAGTCTCTGTTCCCTTTGGCTTGTAGGCATTATGAACCACAGGCTAGGTCTTGAGCTAAAACCTACTAAAAAAATACTGAGTACAAAAAATCTAAATGGTAAAAATCCATTACATGCTATTAACATCTCTAAAAAGACTCAACATATTTATATAATCCTGGTTTGTATGCATGCCATAAAGTATGTATTCATATTGAAGTTACAGTTTATGTTCACTGTCAGATTTTAAACATTCCTTAATCATGTCCAGAACATATTTTAAAATTTAAAAAAATATATAAATATATCCAGGACAAAAACCTCTAGTGCAGCAGTCTATCACAATGTGTCTTGGACTAAACTAACATATTTTTGATAAGGTAAAAGATTTTCATGAGACTAGTCAAAAAAGACATTCTGCTAAATATTGCCCTGAATACCTGGACCTGCTACAAGTAAGACGGATTATTTATTTCAGGATTGCTGAATAGCAGAAGAAAACCCACTGATGTCCATTCTGAAAAAAAAAATACAAACAAGCCAACAACTAACATGTACTAGCCTAAATTGAGAAGAATTGGGATTAGACACATGATGAGTGCAAACATGAGAGGCAAGAAAAAAAGTACAGAGTGGCCAAAGGTACAGCATGTAGGCCAGAACATTTCAGTGTATTCAAGCTGCCTTACACAAAACGTTCAGGTTGGATATTTGGAGGAATTTCTTCACAGAAAGGGTCATTAAACATTGAAATCGGCTGCCCAGGAAGGTAATGGAGTGATTAAACATTGGAATCAGCATCCCTGGAGGTATTTAAGGATAGATTGGATATAGCACTTAGTGCCATGGTCTAATTGACCTGGTGGTATTTAGTCAAAAGTTGGACTTGGTGATCCCAAAGGTCTTTTCCAACTGAATTGATTCTATGGTTCCATGAAAATGTAGATCAAGGAAAGATAATGGGCTATCACAACAGGGCCAGCCACGGGGAGGTGGTGTGGTGAGGTTGGTTACACCACATGCTCCTCAAAGGTCCAAGTAATTGACAGGGAGCAACAGGACAGTATCAAAGCTGCCTTTCCTATTATAGCAGGATCTACCCTTTGTGGTTTTATTTCCATTCAGTGCAAACTAAAAGCCATTCTGAACTGTGCTAAACTGAAGCATAGTGTCAATACAAATATAAGTATAAACCATATGAACACATTCACACTGCCCTTAAATAGTGGCACTGGAGCAAAATATTTTGGTAGTTTGCAACTGCCTCCAGCTATCTAGTGTGCTCTGCAATTTGCATGGTGAAGAATATGCACCAGAGAAAATTTCTGCCATTATCTGTAACTGCTAAAGATAGAATAACTAAATCAGGGAGGTTCAGAGTTGTGAACAGCTGTCACTTGGACACAGCTTCAGCTTTGTCTTGGGTCTTTGCACATGTCTTCTGAACCAGGAAATCATCTGAACTATTACAGCAATGATGCCAGAAGACCGTGAGTCAACTGGTTGGCATGATTGTCCTCATTCTTCAGGAAGTAAAGAAAAGCTGAAACATATGTACCTTTATTTTGACTTCACATTGTAAAACGTCTTGTTAGTTCACACTAACTCTGCACCAGTGGTCCAGATTGGGCACTCGCTTGCTTCATCAATTAAAGCAATCTGGTAACTTGTTTCCCCACTATCTTTCTTCATTTCTGAAATAATGCTAATTAAAAGTCAGCTGGCAAAGCCCCCCATTTTGTGAGATGGTTGCCTTAGAACTAAGCTTGAAGAACAGACAGTAATTGCTTTCCTGAGAGGCACCATCCATCTGTGCAATTACTGCCGGGCACTGATTACACAATGCCACACTTGTTCTTATCGATGAGGAGGAGGTGCACCTGTTGAATCCAGATTTACAAGGTCTGAATTCACACAGAAGATTTTAAAAGCTGAGACTGTATTAGTCACAATGAGTACCACGATGATTTCTCTTGCAAGTAAGTCGTATCTGTTCCCACTGACAATACAGGCATATGAATATTAGATTCCTTAATTCCATCAAGAGTTTAATTCTGCAGCCAACTGTCTGTATTGAAAGGCTAGCATTATAAATGAGGCAAACGCTTCTACATTTTGTGAATTTTTAAAAGCAGAGTGTGATTGCTCTGTACAAAGAACTATTGTATTATCATAAGTTTCTGTGATCTCAAACCTTCTCTAGAATAAATAATTTGTAGCTGAATTATGAGACAGCCTACAAGGCATAAAAACCCCACTCTGAACTGACTTTAGATAATCAACTAACATATTTATAGTCTCATCTCATACAATTATATGACCTGCACAGAGAAATAAATAGTAGTTCAGTGTCACATTACCTAGCACAGTTCCCTGAGATTTGTAAGAACATACATTGATGCACCAGACCTTTGTGCAAAAACTGAACCCCTGTGTCACACGGGTGTTCTGCCTCCCAGAGAAAGAGGAGGTTTTGGGAGTAACTCCCTCTTTGTGGGCTCCTGCTGGATGCTTCTTAGTGTGCATGCCCCCAACTCTGCATGGTGACCTTTTTGATTCCCATTCCTACTGGCTGAGCTTCCTTCTTGGACCTTTAAAATCAGTTCTTCAAGGATCGTACTGTTAAAAATAAGAGGCTATATTGACTGAAATGCTTGTAATTCTTCTAAACTGTGGGGAAATGCAGGACACATTTCTCTCAGGTTTAGAGAGCTACGTATATCAGATGCAGCTATACATATATACATACATACATACATATATACATACATGTAAAAAGACCTAACCAGGGAGATTAAGCTAAGTCCTCTAGAACACAGAGGACTTAGCTTAATCTCCCTTTGCAGATAACTGAAAAATGCAGGAACTTTTAAAGCACGTTTTGGTGGGTGTACAGCTAACATCTGTTCCAGGCAAGAGGAGCTCCCAGTTCTCTCCATCAGCTATAAAGTAAGCCTCAGGAATCAGCTCAGAAATATGTACCCATAATTTGCAAGTGTTCAGCAGAATTCTGCCTATATGTTCACTCTGACGTGGCCTTTCTTTTATAGTAGAAACACCTTCAATTGAAAATTTTTTCATTTTATCAAACCTTATGATTGTCATTAATTCTGTAATATTTTTTTGCATCTAAAGGGCCTATATGCTACTTTGCTCTGAAGCTAGGTGGATCTATTAGAGCCACCTTCCAAAGATAACTAGAGAAAAAAATACACATAAATATGAGTAAAACGTTTCAGCACATATTCAGTGTGGCATTAAATAACAAAATCTTTGTTGCAGCAGTGTTCAGGCAAACTTTCAGTTTCTATGTGCTTCAGCTGAGCATGTTTATTTTTTCACCAAGTTAGATCATATGACAGGATACACAAGCTACATGAAGTACTGCCAGCATGTAGGATTTGACTGCAATTTTGCTACTATATTTGGTGTTTGGTTTTAAAACCCCACAAGTTCTAGCACAAAATGGCTTCTTCCTGCAAAAGTCTAAACAAAAGGCAGATGAAAAATCCAAAGGGTATTTTTAACCAGAGGCAGGAAGAGGAGGGAGGCTGCTGCTTCTGGACTGGCAATGCTGACTGTGCAAGAGCTCTGCAGTGCCAGCTCCTTATGTGCCCCAAGCAGCTGCTGTGATGTGGGGTTGGGAATTAATCCCCAGATCTCCACCTGTATGCTGACTAGCTTGCAGGAATGAGCAGTTGCATCTGGCAGCATTCACATCCTGCAGCTCTGACTTTTAACTAATAGTATATCTGAAAATTAAAGCAGTCTTGTACTGCTACCTCTGCACAATACCTCGTGGTAATTCCCCCAGCTCCCAGCCAGGCCACTCTGTAGCTTACTTAAATGGGGAAAACGTGCACCTCCTTTCAGGGTATTTCTCTTGTTTGAGTTTATTCAGCTCATTTCAACAGTGCTTAGCTGTCATGCAGTTACAGTGACTATGTATCTTTTAGCTGAAAGCCTAAGTTTCACATTAACTGCAGGTGTTTCCTCCTTGAACTATATAAAATGACAATGTAAGTGCATCCAAGGGTCAAAGGCCGGAGCCCAGAAGGCAAAGCTGAACTCCACATTGTGCTTAACTAGTTCACAATAAGTACCACCTTATACTATTCATGTTATAATACAGCTTCAAAAATTATCTTCAACCAAAATAGATTCCAGAACTTTTTACTTGGAAATCCAGATTTCTGAATGGAAAATACCTCTCTCCTATTTTGGGGAAGGGCATGATTTAGTGACAGATTGTCCCAACGCCCTTCTCCATCTGCACAGCAAGGTGGCTCTGGAAGACAAGGAAAGATACTTATGACAAAAATAGTTTGTAAACCCAACAGCCAGTGCCTGCAGCTCACCATCTCAAGTGGTCAGATCAACCATTCTTAGCTAGAAATGCTGAAATGTCATCAAGAGTTGTTGGCCATTTGGGTGCTTTTGTTATAAGAGGGAACTCCAAGGTCTGATGCCACCTTTTCCCATCTCTATACATTAATGACCCTTTATATTATCCATAGTGCTTTGCCCTGCAAAAAGGACAATCACTTTGCCCCTTTGAAAATTTTGCTAGCTGTTCAGAAGGAGTAAAGTTGCTTTCTTTACTTGTTGCTGTTAGCACATCACTGTGCAACAGAACAGGAAAGGAAAGACTAACATGATGCTTTGTAATACCGAAAGAGAACATGATGGGGTGAAAAATATATACCTACTCAAATGTTTTTATTTACAACTGTTTGCCACTGCTGTTCAATCAAAGTGGAGAAAAGAGAACTAAAGACTAAGACACCAAAACAAAAAAATAATTTGTAAAAGAGGATTATGAAGAATATAAAAGTAAAATGAAATTAAAACAATTAGTTTCATAGATTAAAGACAGTTTGAGCTAGCTATGAGCTTCGAATTTATGCTGAAGAAAAATACGTAAGAGGTTGTTTCTTATTTACAGTTTGTACAGAAACAAAAGGAAATGGTGACTGCTGAGAGTCTGTCTTAGCTATTTCTTAAAAGTTCTATCCCAAGTGTATTACACCTACAAGCACGGGGAAGAGAAACAGTTGTAGATGTAAATATTTCTCTGTCACTGCGGTATGGCAAAGGTGGCAATCAAGTCAAGCTCTTGCTGATAATTCTTGCCTAAAATAATAACCATTGACATATGACGTCATATCAGTCTTTCATGATCCTGAAAACCAACAAACAAGGTGCTACTAAGTCTTACAGTGAAGTCTGCTGGGCGTGTAGTGTGTCAGGTCTGTGGGTTCCTGGGAGCTCCTTTTCCAAGCCCCAGTTTTCAGACCGGCCGAGGCCGGGGGCAGCTCGTCTCATCACCTCTGCGGCCGGGGTCCCCACTCGCAGCCACCGCGGCCCTCCCGCTGCTGTTCCGGGGCGGCGCCGGCGCGGCAGGTGCCTCCCCCCGCGGTCACGGCGGGGCTGTCGCCGCCGCTGCTACGTCAGGGGAGTGTCCCGAGGCGGGCCGGGCCGGGCCGGGGCCGGCCTTCCTCCTCCGCCCCTGCCCCCGCCGCCGGAGCCGCGGAGGGAGCGAGGGGTGCCCGCTGCCATGGAGGCCCGGTACAACCTCAAGAGCCCGGGTAGGCGGTGGCCGCGCCTTTACGGGCTGCCCGGGCCGCTGCGGGCGGGCGAGCCCGCCTCGGGGCTGAGCCGGTGGCGGAGGGCTCGGGGCCGGGGCCGGGGCTGCGGCGGGGAGGAGGGCCGGGGCTGCGGCGGTGGCGGTGGGTTCCCTGCGCCGAGGCGGAGGCCGGCCGGGTTCGGTTCTCCTTCGCAGTGCGATGGCGTTGAAACCTTCCTCCGAGCTGTAATTCGGTTCGAGACACCCTGACCGCCAGGTCTGTGTACGTGTCTGTGTGCCCACGCGTGTTGGTGGTTCGTGGACACGCACCTCTGAACGCTTAGTCAGGTGGCCGTGCCCTGTTCCCCCGGGCATCGCCTGCTCTCCGAATGGGTGCGTGTGAGGGCACGGCTTGCCAAGGGTAACTTGGCCCGAGTGGCGTCAGTTTGTTTTGCAGAAGTGTTGCTGTACAGGCTCTCTGTACTTGCGTGTCTGTGTTTGTTCACATGTTTGGTTTGACATGTTTGCATGTTAAAATTCATGCCTATAAGTCCTGGGCTTTCTTTTGTATCCTTGAAGTGAGAGAAACGCCTCAAGTGATGTGGAGAAAACAGCGCTAGAAGGGAAGGCTTTGGTTCCTAGGAAGCAGACAGGGGACAGGCCGTGTCTCCGCGCGTGGCTGTGCTGGAGAGCGGCTCTGACCGGCTGTGCCAGGGCTTCACCTCCCGGGAGCTGCTGCACAGCCGGAGGCCTGGCTGGCCCTGCCGAAAGAAGGGCTGCGAGGGTGTGTGTGCGGGCTGCTGTCCTGCCCCTGCTTTCGCCTGACTGGATGTTGAGAAATAGGCATTATCCGCTTCATGTTATTGTGATGAATAGTAGCTTTATTTTTTAATCATACCGTCCTGTTTCCAGCATGAGAGGTGGGGAGAAACTGAATGTTATGATGACTTGTACCTTACAAATGTCAGTGACATGCTTGTTTACAAACATACCTCATGCGGATGATGGGTCTATTGTTAAATTGTGACACTTAGCCTCACACCCAGGTTGCATAACTGGAAGATAAGAAGGATCACTAAGCAAATGATGAACCTGTTGTCATTTAAAATGTCAGAAAGGAATACTTTTTCTGGGGAGATATGCAGGATGTGTGGCATATGTGAATTTAGAAGGCCACACAAACATGCTCACTGGTTGTGGTTTGCCACGTCATGGGAAACAGTGGTGGTGTGCTGTATGACAAGCACCCGGGATCTGGGTGGAGAGGAGAAATATTTGTGGCTTAATTTAGAAATGTTCTTCCCCTTTATTATTACTTGTCCCCCCCTCTATGCAAGAGAAAATTACCTTTACTGGAATTGATTTTCAGCACCTTTTGGTGCTGAAAACCAGCTGGAACCAGCTGTTCCATAGCAAAATGAACTTTGAGGGGAAAAGATAAATAATTCATACAATGGCTTAATATTCTTTCTCCAACTTAAGCATGTTTGGTTGCATTTTAATTTATTAAACTATTTCTTTCCATATAGATAGTGAAAGTTTGTAAATTATATAAATAACTTTTAAAATTTCTATAATGATTTAAAACATTGATTTCAATAGTCAATATGTGTGAAATCGTTCACTGAACAGATGGGCAAAAAGGTGTTGAATAAATATAAACAAATATTTTAAATAAATATTGTTTATTTACAGTTGCACATTAAAATGAGTTGACAGTAATTATGTATAGCTACTGCTTGTAGTCTGGCACTTTAGTTGCTAACCTGGTAGATGAGCATATGGAATTATTTAATATTTCTGTGTGTTTTACAAATTCCTATCTTGTTCTAGTTACCTGTGCACTTTAGTGGTGGTGTCTTACTCTTGCCATTCAACTGAAGGTTAACAATGGAACTGTAGAATATTCTAATATTAAGGTGATTTCAATTAATGTAAAGGCACTAAAATACATAAAAAGAAGTCCACTGTATTTTTTATTTCAAGGGGTTGTGTCATGTGTGGACTGAAGGGATTACTTTGGTAACTGAGCCCTCTAGGGCTTTAGAACAAGTAGTGTCCTTGTGCCTGTTGTTGTTGCTTTGCCTTTAATAGAGGAAGAACTAAGCTGCTAACCTTTAGGTCAGCTTTAGGGATTTGGAACATGCTGTCTTGAGACAGAATAGAAAAAATAATGGTTTTGTACCTGTACAAGATGCTTCTACTGTTGAAATCTGCTTTTGGACTTGAGCAAACTGCAAATGGTGATTTTGTCTGCTCAGTATATTTTAAAAGGGCAAATTATACTAAGCCTTTTAGTATAAGTTGCTTTAATGCAATGTTGTATATGAAAATATATTTTTAAATAGGAAAATGTTGTTAAAAGAAACATGTGCCTTTATAGCAGAATTTGGCTTAAAATAAAGATCTATAGAGTTGTGAAGGAGCTGAAGTTCAACTGTGGTTGATACGTGGATCCCTTTTCTGTGAATGTGCTAGACCAGACTGGTGAGTGGGGATCAATTAGGTTCTCCATTGCTGTACTTTGTGTGCTCTCAAACAGACCACAGAAGAGCAATATTGCTACACATCTTTGTCCTGCTGCTGATTGCTCCTAGGCAATGTGTTTATCTTCTTTCTTATCCCTGTTTTTACAGCCAGTTAGCTCATCCCAGCATATCTGAAAGATGGGAACTCTCCACAACACAAAGCAAGTTGTTCCCCTGCACACCACGTCTCTGTTGATGAGAGGCAGCGCAGCTCTGGCCCGTCTCAGTTTGTCATAAGAACAGGCCATGGGCAGTGCAGGTCTGGGATGGCAAAGCAGCTCCTGTCACTTGCCCTCTGTAAGAGCAAGGAGCCATGGGAGCATTCACCTGGTGCTGTCTTCTCACACTGCCTATGAACTTGAGTTTCTTTTTTTTTCTTCCCAAAAAGACAGTTAATTTTGGAAGGGATGAAATTTCACACTTCACACTTCAGGTTTCTTTGTATTGCTTCAATAAGGCAAAGCTTTGTAAGCTGTTGCTTCATATTTTTGTGTGTATTTTTGGCAGTTGTAAAAGGGCAAGCTATTTTCTATCTTAGGATTTCAAAATGGATTAGTCAGTGTATATCAGCCTGCTGCCACATGGCTGATAAACCTCTCCCATCAATATTAAAGCTCAGCTGACTAAAGTACAGACTTCATCCTCTTCATGCCTCAGGAACATCCCTAATTTTCTGAAATTTATAAGACAGCTACTTGGAATAATCTCTTTACTTTTTTTCCCCCCAAGAGCTGTGACCCTTAGCCTGCTGTAAGATCAGACACGGAATCTTGTAGTCACTGCTCTTGTAGTGACAATGTCTCGCTTTTGTGTGGGCTGTGACCAGGTGTCTGAGTGGGTATTAGCAGAGACACGTGAAGAATTATGAACAACTACTTACAGTGCCTCACACAGAGCCCACAAAAAACCACGCTTTTTAGTTTTTTAGGGGGCAGAGTTTGTTTTGCTTTCAGCAGACCACTTCATCAAGATTTTGATTAGTGAGTGCCCTGGAGCCCTATGGAGAGCACATGGAAGGAGTCACTGGCATGCTGTCCTGCATTTGTTGCCCAGGGGCACTGCTTTGGGATCTTGAAGGCATAGAGAACATAACAAGGCTGAGATTGTGATCCTCTTAGCTGTCAGCTTCAATATGATTGCTGTTTTTCCTAAAAACTGTACTTCTTTCTCCACTGCGTATTTTGCACAAGTAAGTGATCTGGGCCAACAAGCATACATCAGTTCTTTATTAACTAAACAGCTAATAGGAAATAGCCAGTAGCTGTTGTGCTGCTTAGTAGCTTCTGTGTATGAAATAAGGATAGATTGTTTAAAATTAAAACGTTGAACACATGTTAAAAATTTATTCATCGTTTGATCGTAACGTGTTCAACAAGCACCTTGGATTTTGTAAGTTTTACCTCCGTTTGCGTTGATCACTGAACAGTTGTTTTCAATTGCAACTAGGATAAGAGTACTGTACTTCCTGTTGCCCTGAGGGAAATGAGGACTAAAGATTGGTTGTTTCTTAGGGTGAGAGGAAAGCAAGACAGGAGTAATTAAAACTTTTTGTGTTTTTATAATAATTGTTAATACTTTATGTGAGTATAGGAGTCTTGTTGATCATGTGAAAAAATGTACATGTGGCTGTGAAGATGTAAAGCAGCTATTCAGGAGGCTTATGGGTCTTGAGAAGGGAAGTATCTGAGACCCTGAGGATGGAAAACAGCTGGCCTGTTTCTTGGCAAATGGTGTTTACATTTGTTTTGTAGCAGAAGTCAAAGGAACTGCCAGAGGAATGTCCTGGTCTTGGCTGGGATGGAGTTAATTTTTTTCCTAGTAGCTGGTTCAGTGCTGTGTTTTTGATTTATTTATCTTATTTTTAGTTCACAAATGATCACACATCATTCACAGGTTCTAAACTGTCCAAGAGAAATACATCCACAAGGTGACACACAGCTCCTAGTGACACTGTGCAGGTTGCTGTGAACCTGTTAGAGTTGCTGTATATTTAAATTTAATAAACCATTCTCTACAGAGTACAGCAAAAAATACCATTGAAAAAAGTACCATTTTCCACATCAAAGAGCTGCTGTGACTCTTTGTTTTAAATATGTTTTCTTACATGTGTCAGTGACCACATCACTTAAAATGTGATTTATTTTTTATTAAAATGTCAAAGCTCATCAAGTGCTGTCATTTTACGAGAAATCCTAGGTACTTTACGTATAAACTTAATCCTGATGGGTTTTTTTAATGATGTGCACTGGAGCTACTAAGAGTGTGATTCACTGTTATTTTTCCCCTTACAATAAATTTAAACATTACCTTAAGTAAATGAGATTTTCTTTTAAATGCCAATGCAGTTTGGTTCCCAGATGCTTTGGGCTGCTGTGGGGACTGGTGATTCAGCAGGTAGGTGATGCTCTGCACTGTGACCTCTGAAGTCACTTGGTGGTTACACTGACTGTAGGTCAGGCACTCTTGGCTCAGTGGTCAGGTATAGAGTGGAAGGGGGAAGAAAACAAAGCCAGCTGGATTTAAGAAGACCCTCCCAAAATGTCATGCATGACACATCTGTGTAATTTAAGGGACATGATGCTTGTATCAAACTGTCTTATGTGATTTCATTTTTTATAATTTTTTTCTATTATTTTTGTATAATACTTTTCCTAATTTAGGTAGTAGTCTCATTAATAGATAAACACATAACAAGAATTACTTGTGTTTTACTAATCATTTAAGTGGATTGAGTAGTTATAAAAGTTTATCTGAGATGAAGGGTTTTATGGGAGTTTCACTTTCACTGAAAAACCTGTATTCAATAAATAAATTACATCTTTACTTGTGCTGTTTTTGTTAGCAGAGCCATAGGGAAAGTTACTACTTCTTCTGAGTAGACCTCTAAATCTTGTTTATAGTGAAAAAAATAGTAGCAGTCATAAATAAAAAGGTAGGAAACATTAGCCAAAGCAGTAAAAGCTGTCAGGTTGTTTTATTCTTCTTTTCCCAGCTTAGATAAGTCATCTTGAAAGATTGAGAGATCTCTAGCTTTATGCCATCTATTCTGGATTCTATTATTTATCTGTACATGATGTACTTTCTTTTTCAAACAGTGGAACTGAAATTTCAAACTGAAGTTTGAGAATTCATTTCAGAATGAAAAGGTTGCTGTACATTTGAGGAAGATACTGTCATGCACAGCCACTTTTTTTTTTAAAGACATAATGATTTACTAAGAAAACACCACCGATGTTCAGATGCTGTCATCCCTTTAAGCAGTTTCACTGATGTTTACAAAGACTGATCACTTGCGTTTTCTGTGTCCAGAAGGTTTTCCCAGACACTAGGTACAGACAAGTACATAGTAGGAGTACTTGAATGAACCTGCAGATATATTCAAAAGAAGCAATTGTGTGTACTGAAGTTTCAGGGTAGCTTGAAGTAAAGGATGATGAAAGTGGAATTTGACTGGGCATGGTTTTTGGCAGAAATAAATACATTAATCACATATGCATTTATTGTACAAATTTTCCTCATTAATTGTTATTCCACCACCACTCAATCCTAAAGCAAGTTGGTGGCTTTAAACTTGATTCTCAGATTTTTAATATCCGTATTTTGCTTTTCAGAAAATTTTATTCAGTGTAACGCAAGGGGCAGATTGTCAGGCAGAGCTTCTGACCTGTAGTGTTCTGTGTTTCCTCCACAGAGCAGTAGAGAGTTCCCACACCTCTTGCTTATTGGTGGGAACTCTCCTGTAATCTCTAGTCCAGAAACTTAATTTCCCCAGGATTTAATTTTGATGAACATTGATAATGTGTTACCGAGTGTATCTGTGCAAGTGTGGTTATTTTGCATGCTGATGGTTATGTCACATTAAAAAAATAACTTGATTATTTTGTCTTTAAAACCTGTCTTAGACAAATTCAGTGTCTTGACTTTTTTTTTTTTTTTTGCTGTATTAGCCATACTCTTTGACTTTATTGACAGTCTGTGATTCTTTATTTCAAATGGTTTTTCAGAATTTTAGAACTTTAAATGATTTTTCAGAATTGCCATTGCCAAATGTTTACTCAGTGACTCACAATGACTTAAGTGGGTTGAAATACCATGACTTATTGCAGGCAGACTGTGAATTATTCTTGTTTCTTCCACTGCAGTTTTTGGTAGCCAAAGGAAGAACTGTTTCATGAATACTGCAGCAGGGCTTGATGAAGAAACAAATTTTGTGCTTTCTTCACTGGATCACACGTTCTCAGAACGAACCTTTACAGCTCCAGGCTTTTCCTTGCAGCCTCTCAGCTGGTATTTTTCAGGGATGTGGGAAGAGAAACACAAAATAGTTTGGGTTGGCAGGGATCTTTAAAGGTCATCTAGTTCAGCCTCCCTGCCTCAAGGAAGGACACCTTCTGCTAGATCACAGCTCAAAGCTCTGTCCAACTTGACCTTCAAGGCTTCCAGGAATGAGGCCTCCACAACTTCTCTGGGCAACTTGTTCCCGTGTCTCATTGCCTCATGGTAGAGAATTCCTTCCATATATCCAATCTAAACTTACTCTCTTTGAGTTTAAAACCATTCCCTCTTGTCTTGCCGCTACAGGCTGTGGTAAGAAGTTACTTCTTTCTTATAAGCATCTTCTAGGTATTGAAAGGTCACAATAAAGTCTCCCCAGAGCCTTTTCTTCAGGCTGAACAACCCCAGCTCTCAGCCTTTCTGCATACACATGTGCTGCTTAGAATAATGGAATAATAGTAAGGCTTGGTTTGGAAGGCACCTTAAAGATCACCTACTTCCAATCCCTGTGCTGTGGGCAGGGATGCCTTTCTTTAGACCAAGTTGCTGAGAGCTCCGTCCAACCTGGCCTGGAACACTTCCAGGATGGGGCATCCACAATTTCACTGGATAACTTGTTACAGCTCCTTACCATCCTCACAAGAAATATTTTTTTCCTAATATATAATCTAAATCTATTTTCTTTCAGTTTGAAGCCATTCCCCATCTTGTTGCTACATGCTCTTATAAAAATCCTTCTCCCATCTTTCTTGTAGGCTCTCTTCAGGTATTGGAAGGGTGAAGTTAGGTCACCTGATAGATTTTTAAGATGTCCTGGGTTGCTTAATACTGAAAACTTCTTATAAGCAAATTATCTCTATGATATTCGAGAGCTAAATTAGATTTTGCTGTTTCATGCCCCAGGAGTGGAGTAGTGTTATGCTGTAATAGCTTTCCCGTGGTGAACGTGGGTGACTCCACATGATGCTTTTATGGGGGAATATATTTGTTTTCTGTCCTGGTCTCTCAGCTGGGAAATCTCAGTAACAGTTGTCTGCCTTGTCCATGACTCCTCTGTCTTTATTAGGTTTTGTTACGCACAGTCTCAGTTTTCTCATGGTCACCATTTTGCTTCATGAGGTGTTCACTCCTGAATTAGCTCATCCTAGTGCATGCCACTCTTCTTCTAAAGGCAAGTGTCCAGCCTTGTTAGCTGTGAAGCAATGCTGAGTCCAAAGCCTTTTCTGGTCTAGACTGGTTTTCTTATATTCCTCTCTAATGAACTGGTAAACTTTAATGAAGAGGAAAGAGACAAACTGTTACTCAGCAGAGCCTGAATGCTGCTAGCTGTGACGTGACCTGGTGGGATCTGTCAGGTGTTTAATTGACACCTCCCTGTGGCAGCAGCATAACTGAGGTAACCGACAGCAGCAAGATTTCCACATAGCTGGTTTTCTGTTTGGGTTGTAAGAAGTGAAATTCTCAAACTTTGAACCATGGTTTATAGCTGTCCGAAAGTGTGAAGGAGGAAAAGGACTTACCACAGTAGATTGGAAGGAAAATTCCGCTGTGGGGAGGCCAGAGTTTTTTAGTAATGTGTGGTGCACATGAGGGCACCTGAAGTATAAGTGATGTAACAGAGCTTGCAAAAGAGGGCACAAGAAAATACAGATGACGCTGGTATTTCTGAAGTGGAAGGTTGGAGAAGGTTACCAATGAGTATCCTGAGGTCATGATAGAAGAATACTTGGGTGTTCACACTCAGTGGCAGGTTCCAACTGCAGAGGCCCTGGGTAAATTTTTGAGGCTGGGTATATTCAAATATTTCAAATCTATTATAAAACTTAATCTCCTCTTACTGGTGACGTGTTGATTTCTCTCAAGTATTACTGTGACCTCCTTTTGCTCAACTGAAGGAGTAGTCATGTAATTGTCATGGGAGGTGTCAGAATAAAGCTTTTCAGCAGTTGGTAAAGATGCACATGATGTCCTGTATCATAAAATACTGATGTTGTTAGCCTCGTAAATCTTGTAGTCTGAAACCCTGTTAATGATATGTATGTTTTTCCTCCTGTCTGGTGCAATTACTAACATAAAACTACTTTAGTCCCAGTGTTCATTGTTGAGAAACTGTGACCATGCACATATTTTTCATAACTTTATGCTTGTATAACCCATTTAAGGTTTATTCATCATAAGTAATTATATAGTATCTTGAATTATGAACTCCAGTGAAGAAGCTGGAATCTGATAGAGAAGATTAGTTAGCTGAAAAGAGTTATTCAGGAAATGTTTTATGTATTTTTCTATGCAATGCATATTAAGTTATTTTCTTCGTTTTCATGTCTTATGCTTTCTTTTTTTTCAGCTGTCAAACGTCTGATGAAAGAGGCTGCAGAACTGAAGGATCCTACAGATCATTATCATGCACAGCCTTTGGAGGTTTGTTTCTCTATATGTTTGCAAGAACTTGTAATTAGGCCGTTTTATTAATATATACATTTAATATATACTTTTCTAAAATGATAGCAAAACAATTTTTTCCCCCTATGATGGAAATCAGCAGCAGAATTCAACTTCAATGGTCTTGTAGTTCAGGGTATTGGTGAAAGTATTTAATAACATTGCACATGAGTAGTTTTATAGCATGGGTGTGTTTATTCCCCCATCACCTTCCCAAGACTATGGAAATACTTAATATTTAAATCAAGCTTTTTGTACCCAAACCTGACATCTGGCGCATTTGTTGAGTTGTTCACTGAAGCACTTAACCTAAGGTGATCTCTGAGGATTGCCGTTTTGCATTTAAGAAAACCTGTGAAAAACACAAATGTGTACAATTCTGGATGCATTGTAAGAGAGGGGGATTTCACTTAAGGAGTAGCTTCTTGTCTAAACAGCTGGTTAAGTTTTTGGGCTGAGAGGACAATTAAGTTCTGGTGGTTAGAAGCTTAAACAGAAATCCCTACTGACTTCACTTGGTTAATTTAAAAAAAAGCAGTGTTCTGTGGTATTCAGTTAGGAGATTTGATTTTTAGCTGTTTGCAAAAATAAGTAACATTTTTGACATGCTCATATAATAATGCATGTTCCAGGGTGCTATAAAATATTCCTTATTGTCTACTTGTTTTTATCTGTAGCTTGCTTCTGCTTCCTGTGGTAAAACGAGAGGTTTAATTCTTGCTGTTATTTGTAACCTACATGAAGATCTTATTTCTGGAGTAGAACAGTGTCTCAGTGGGAAGAGAACAGTGGCAGATGAAAGGAAATCTTGACAGTTGTCTCCTATACTTGAAAAACTGCAACTAGGTGGGCCACCCCAGGGCTGTAATACCAGTGTTCTGCATTAGCTGAGGGATCTCATTCACTGACAGCAAGCCTCATTTGGGCTCCTGTCCTAACAGTAGGAGTTGTTCTGCTTGTAAATATTGAGGAAGTTGTTGGCAGCTCAAGTTCTGATACCCAAATCGCAGCTCAAAAGCCCAAAGAAATAATGTTTAAAGAGAAGTTATTTATATGTCCAGTGATGATAAAACTGTAAATTTCAAAGTGTACCTTTCAAAGTTGTGCAATAAGGTACAGTACTTGTTTCAAAACTGTTAGTGGAGTAGGGAAAATAGGAGTTCTCTGGGCTGTGTTGACCTGGGCACGGAAGGAGCTTTGGGAAGGCTGTCATTAGTGTTCTTTCTTGGTATAGGTCTCCCCCTGGTTCTCCAGAAATTATTGTTCACTGAGGCAAAGATCTAAAGATTTTGGATCTTACTCTTAATTGACTCAGTTTTCCATCTTTTGGGTAGTACAACTCCTGTCATAATTTGTACAGCTAGCATAAAGAATTTGGATAATGAATTTGAGGCTTTTGGCGAATTATTGCGCACTAAATTTCCCAGAAACCTACAATGCTTTATCCTTATTGCTGCATTCTCTTAACTCTCCATTTGATTTTGTCTTCTTAAAACTTCTGCCTGTATACTGTTTCTTCAGCCTGTCTTTGTTCAAGAAAATGGCATTGAGTTGTCTATTTCTCTGATGAACACTTTTTTTTTCCCCTTCTTCCATTGATGGGGGCATTTTTAGGATAATCTTTTTGAATGGCACTTCACTGTTAGAGGCCCTCCAGATTCAGATTTTGATGGAGGGATTTATCATGGGCGAATAGTGCTACCACCTGAATATCCCATGAAACCACCCAGCATTATTTTGCTGACGGTAAGTAAGCATGCTCATTAGATTTTCCTTTTTATATTATCAATTTTATCATAGGTACAGAGAGAGAGGGAGATTCTAGGCATTTAACATGATGTTATTTTTGTAAGAAAGGTGGCACAGTATAGCATAATTGACGGTCCAAAGTCTTCCAAGATTATTTTGGTAATCTCTTAATTGCATGAAGCTTTATGCCTAATAAATGCTCTTTCCTCCAGAAGCAATCACATTGCTGATGTGGTTGTCTGGTTTTTCTGTTTCTCCATGGGCCCTCTTGGTTTCTGTTGAATACATTGCTCAGATGTTGGGAGGCAGACCTGTAGTTTGAGGCAAAGGCCTTCCTTTGTGCATAGTTTTGTAGAAGATTTTCTTCATGCATTAATAGACTCAGATGACAGAGTTCTGTTTTCAGCAAGCTGAATGCCAATTTTGTGGTGTCAGCAGTAGTATGATTGTCACATATTTTTTGTGTATGGAATTCTTTTGATTGTGATTTTTATGACTTTTACAAAAACTGAAGAGTTAACTTCTAGCATGCTTTATTGTATCCTCCTCCTTCCTTTGAAGGCAAATGGCAGGTTTGAAGTGGGGAAGAAAATTTGTTTAAGCATCTCAGGGCACCATCCTGAAACATGGCAGCCTTCGTGGAGTAGTAAGTAACAATTCCTTGGAAAATCTTACCCCCGTCAAACAACTTGTTCTTTAAACTCAAGAGAATCTCATGAAAAATGTTTATAGTGGAAAAGGAGACAGATTTTGAGAGTGTATTGGGGTGAATTTGTCAAATGTAAGGTCATAAAAAGAATGAAATTGAATGATTTGGAAATCATACTAAGTAAAAGCCAGGACTGAGAAACTGAGGGGTGATGGTAAGCTCTTCTTTACTTGGATACATACGCATTAAGAATTTTAGACTACTTAGAATATTCTTTGTGTGTTTTGTTTAAAATTTTCCTTATAAAATAAATCCTGTTACTTTACCCTGTTTTTGCGTGATCACTAAGCCAGCTTGAATAACAATAGAAGGAAGTTTTCAGTTCTAATTATTTGGTTCTGAGCACGCAAGAGGAAAGATAATGTGGTCAGAGTTCAAAATAACTAAATCATCTCTATCTTTGTCTTTAAAAATACTGTTATTACAGAAATTGAGAGCTGACACAGTTCATCCAAGGCAATATGCTTATGTGCAAGTAATTCTAGTTTTGCTGAGTACAGTATATCAGTTATTTCTATATTAGTTTCACTTTTAAAATACGTTGGTAAGATCTTAGGAGTTTTCTAGCAGACCACTCTTCAACTTTTGTTAAGTCTCTAATGTTTTTTTAAGAGTAGAAAATGCTGTGTTTCTAAGTAGTTCTATATATGCTGCCTCTTTTCTGTGGTACTTACGTGATATTTATTTACCAAATCTATTAGCAAAGTGTCTTGAATTCTTAAGTATCATTACTTCTGTAAAACAAAGTCCACGTACAGATGTTGTCAAAAGAGATGCTTCAGATGACAATTCTGTTACAAGCAGTTACCAATATTTTATGTGAGCTCCTTCCCCTATTATGATGACATAAAAGGAACAAATTCTGCAATACTTTGCAAGAAAGAAAAACTCTGAGCATGTGTACATTAAATTGAGAATTCATGTGTAATAGAAAACAGATGCAAAAAAAAAAAAAAGAATTCCCTGTGAACCTTTTTGGTTTTCCTCTCCCCCTGCTCCCCTTCTTCCCACAACCACCTTTTTATATATTAGTTATGCTTTACCTTATTTCATTGTTTTTAAAGTCTGGAACACTCAATGCAACATTTTTGTGACAATTTATTTTTCTCTTCTCTGTTGGCTGGTGGCCTTTTCTTTGTTTACAATGTAATGTCAAAACAAAATTAAGAAAGCCGTGCAGTGTACCAAAAAGAACCCCAAACCACTGCTGCTTGTAGGAAGTTCAGACTTGGCAGGATGAAGTTTTGCACTCAGAAATGCAACTTTCCTGAGTGTGGAATGAGATTGCATAACTCTTGTTTCTGCCAACTTGTTTCTATCTCTGTTTTCCCATTTTAGTAAGAACAGCTTTACTAGCTATCATTGGATTTATGCCAACCAAAGGTGAAGGAGCAATAGGATCTCTAGATTACACACCAGAAGAAAGAAGAGCTCTTGCAAAGAAGTAAGTGCTAAGTTTGTTGTTGTAGGGACATTTACATTAATTCACTTTTTGGGTAATGCATTGAGTAGAAAATAAGCTACATCAGTCTATTCGATTGCATTTATTCCAAATAAAACGAGTTTGGTTTCTTGTATGTGTAGTCATTTTTCTCTGACTATTGTGCAAACTTGGAAATTGCAGTCAAGCAAAATGTTTTGAGAGCACTCCATTCCTTCCAGCATTGTGTGGTCATATTAGAGGTTTGTCTGAAATTCAGACTTGGAGATGTAATTCACATTATGATACAGTACTAATTGCAGCATGGAGAGAAAGTGGGTATGATGGAATTGATAGTAAGTGGGGGAGAAGACCACCAAAATAATGATGTATAATTGTATTTAATAGTGAAATTATTTCAAAATTCTGAAGCAACTTCTTCTAAATGATCTTTAAGAAGTTAACTTGAGATTAGGTTTGTGACTATGATAAAATTATTAGATTAGTGAACAAAAGGAGGGCGGTGGATGTTGTTTATAGGGACTTCAGCAAGGCTTTTGGTGTTCTTTCCCTTATCCTCAGTCATGAAGTACAGCCTAGGTAGCTGGGGACAGTAAGAGAGATTAAGAACTGCCTGAGCTGCCTGGCTCAAAGGATTGTGATAAGCAGCACAAAATCCAGCTGCAGGCTGGTCACTATTGGTATTTTCCTGGTATCAGTGCTGGGGCCAGTGCTATTCAGTGTCATTAATGACCTGGATAATGAGAGACAGGGTGCACCCTCAGCAAGTTTGCTGGTGACACAAAGCTGGGAGGAGTGGCTGATACACCAGAAAGTTGTACTGCCATCCAGAGGAGCCTCAGTGGGCTAGAGGAATGTCAGAGAAAAGTCCTGCCCCTGGAGAGGAATAATATCAGCTGACTAGAAGGGAGCTTGGAAGGGAAGATTATGGTGGTCATTATGCTGATCCTGAGGCAGCAGGGTGCCCTCGCAGTAAAGAATGCTGAAGTGTCCTGGGTTGCACGAGGAGGAGGATTGCCAGCAGGGTCAAAGGAAGTGATCCTACTTCAGTACTCAGCACTGGTGAGACATCAGCAGTGCTGGCTTCAGGTGGGACTGTGACCAGGTCAGAGTACAAGAAAGATAAGGGCATCCTGGAGGTAATTCAGTGCAGTGCCATGAAGGTGATTGAGAGGCTGGAACATGTTTCATCCATGGAGATAGTAAAAGAGCTGGGAGTGTTCAGCCTGAAGAAGAGAAGGTTCAGGAGATCATATCAATGTGTACAATTATCTGAAAGGAGTTGTAAAAAAGGTAGAGCCAGGCTCTTTTCAGTAGCATTCAGTAACAGGAGTGAGTCGGTGGGGTAGGTTAGTCATGATACTGTCCTGTCAAGTCTCTGTGATTCCTCACTAGCTTGGAGAGCCACTTGCAGTGTGCCCTGTAGAGAGGTGATGTGGGAAGGTTATGTTCTCCAAGAAGCTGAAATTCCTGATTGGAGGTGCAAGCTCCAATCTATGTCCAGTATAACATTTGTAATAATAGTTAAATCTTTATAATTTATCATTTTTATTTGTTGCAGATATAAGTATTTTAATTGTAAAAAAATATTAATAAAGTATAAATAATAGTGATATTTAAGTCAGTTGTTAATACTTTCTTAAATGACTTGAGACAATTTGTGTTAGTAATACAGATAATTCTCAACATATTTTTTCAAGATAGTGTGATTTGAGGCAGAGGGAAGTACTTTAAGCTACTGGCCTTGCCACCACTTGTCTTTCTGTGGATTGTTCTGCAAATAGTTTATTAAACAAGCACACAGGAACACTGAGAACATGCTATTCTGAGCTATGTCTTTTGTGGGCAGGTCACAAGACTTCTGTTGTGAAATGTGTGGCACATCTATGAAGACAGCCCTCTTACCACTGACATCTGGAAGCGTGTCAAGCCAGGCAGACAAGGAGGCTAAAGAGCTTGCCAGACAAATTAGCTTCAAGGTAAAGTCACCGTTTAAACTTTGATCTGTCTTGCATAAAAGTAGAAAAGAAAATACTGCGAAAAAACTTGTAAATCACAGAAACATTCATCATTTCAGAAAACCTTCATCAATTGCTATGTGGAAGCCTGTTTCCTCAGTATTGTCTGAAAGAAAATAAGAATGGATCTCTTGAAATTTGCCACTTAATAAGTTGTACATCTCAAGCATTGATTGATTAGTTTTAGTGGTGACCACTGTGGTAGGAACTGCCTATGTTGCTTTTACTTCCACATTTTCCAACACTAATAACTTGATTAAATTCTCCAGAATTAGTTGTATCATAAAAGTGTGATGAAAGTTTGGGCAAAGCTAACCTAAATTTTTACCTTTGTGATTTTTTTTTCCTTTTGGATTATGGAAGGAATAAAACATATTACTACTGAAAAATGGTTGCAAATTCTTTTGAAGTACTCTGCTACTATCTGAAGATACTGAAAGTTGAACTCTGGTATGGAAGTTGCTGTGACCGAAAAATGTGTTCTCTAGCTTGTGTTTCAGTGAAAGCAAGGTTTGTTTAGACAAATACATTCCTTAGAGAATTGCATGTCTTGCATGCACAGTGTTGTTTTTCACTGCGTTTTGCACTAAACTCTTAAATCAGCCACTAAAGAAGACTACTGTGCATGAGAGCAGGGAACTACAGTTACATTATGACAACGTGGCATTAGTGCAGAACACATCGTCACTAAGGTCAGGGCTGCCAATATATCCCTTTTTATCACCTATGTTCTTCTAATAGTGTCCTGACGTCTACTTTTTACTTTTTTTTGTGTGTAAAGGAGAGTAAAGATTATCTTCTGAGTATTCCTGCCATTTTTGCAGGACATGCATATTCCTGTGCCATAACACTTAAAATAAAAACATCTCCAAATATTTTACAAAGATGAGAAAAACAGGGACAGAGTTTTAAAGCTCAGCTACGTGGAGAAACAATGGATTGCCTTCTGGCTTTTTTAGAATATATAAGGGTTTAAAGTTGTAAGATTGATTTTTGAGAATTGCTAATCTTCAAAGAAATTCTAGAAATATCCAAGTTTGGTTTTGTTTGGCTTTTTCTTTTGTGAGAAAGAACTCATAACTTACATTTCATACCTTTTTCAGTTTTAAATTTCAAGGCTTAGAAGTATCAGTCTTTAAAGAATATAGGTGTTTTCCATGTATCTATATGCTTGACACTACTTCCTAAGAGCACTTGTCAGGAAAAAAAAGGAAAAAAAAGCCTTAGGTTTCTACAGCCTCTTACCATCCATTGTGAGGGTTTTTTTTCTTTTTAATTTAAGAAGGCAAATCAGTTCTGTCCTCTGGTTGCATCTTTCTTCCCTTCTCAAATCAAAATGTAGGGGTTGAGGTTTTTTAAGCTTCCTGCTTCTCTGCTTTGCTTGACTTTATCTGTTTGTTGTTAGGTGGAGGTGTTCAATTGATGTGTTTTTAATAAACTAATAGTATGAATTACTAGCAGAAAAGAAAGAAGTTTTTAATTATTTGGATACATTTAATGTGAATTTATGGGGTAAGATTTAACATCAGATTGCTGATTGAGTGTATAATTTCACAGAGCCTCTCTACTAGAAAATATACTAGCAACCTCTGCATTACCTTCCTCCTTAAATAAGAGATTTCTTATTATGTGTAGATGATCCCAGGGTTATTGTGTTTCTTTGCAGCTTTAAACAAGATGCTAACTTTTTAAAAAGTGGTACTGAGATAGGAATATGTAATTCAGGAGGGGGAAAAACCCCAACTCCTCTTCTCATTACGGTTTTCCTGCTTCTGTGAGCAGCCACCTTTGTTCCTGTCTGTTTTAATAGTAAATTATATTTTGTATCAGGTGTTTTCTAGGTGTTACATAACAGAAATTCCATTTTGCTTAAAGAAGGAAAAAGGAAAAAAAAAATTACTGATAGCATATGTATCACTGTAAAACAGTGTGGTTTACCTTCATGTTGCCATCACAAGGCATATTTTGCAATAAAATCAATTCTCTGCTCACCCTTATTGTTACATTTAAATATGTTGTCATCTTTTGAATATTAGTCTGACTTCAGTCTAGATACTAGACTTAGTGCTTTCATACGCTAAAGTAAATCAAATGCACATTTGGTATTGCTTTATAGAGATTAACAGCAAAGATGAAATAAGCTCATCTTGAAAGAAACAAGAGTATGAAAATCAGTACTCATGGGTTCCGGGAACTTGTGATTGGATATAGGAAAGATTCACCCTGAGTGTTGTCAGATGCTGGCGCAGACTACCCAGAGAGACTCTGGACTCACCCAGCTTTGGAGATGCTCAAAACTTGTCTGGACATGACTCTAGAGAAAGTTGGACCAGGGACATCTAGAGTTCCATTCCTGTCTAAATGTTTCATAATTCTGTGTTGCTTTGTTGATGATCCATATTTGAATCATAACTTTTCCTGTCTAATATTACAGTTCATAATAGTCAGTGCAAAGAGACAGCAGTGTTCTTAGCAGATTCTAAGTTTTTAAATGTTAAATCCATCTCCAGATTGTGTTAGTGCCATATTTTTTGGATTCTCTTGAGGTAATACATATGAAGAAACAGAGAACTTAATTTCCTCACAAAAAATAGTATCATGAAAGACTATTGTACTGTGATCTTACCAGTTTATTATCACTATAACTGGTTGTTTTCTAATACACTGTTTGTATTTATTGCTGCTACTACTACCACCACTATCTATGCTTGCATTTTAAGACAGTCACTAGATTTGAAGTTGTCATTTTTGTAATAAGTTGGGATCTAGACACATGACTTGGGAGGTGATGTGTAAATTTTAGAAGTATTTCAGTTCCACACTATGATAGTATGTACTTTTCCATTCCCAAGAGATTACTGTTGCCATATATACTGGAGTTCATGTTCTTCTACATGTCCCTACTGATCTCTTGTCTCAGATTTCCTAAGCATGAAACCTAAATTCTGGGGGAAATTTTGTGTAGTAGACATTTTGTAAATGTGTATGAAAGCAGTATTGCAAGACTTGAATTTTTTCTTTTGCTCTGTGCTGAAATTTGAATACTGGACACTGGTGTGCATGTACTACCCAGTGTAGTGTCATGCATATATGCCCATTCTGTCTGTGAGGCAACTTTGGTACTGAAACCAGTATAGCCAGTTTACACTGGCACTCACTAGAGGCTCTTTAGTCCTGTGGAGGAACAGGCTGTGCTACTTCACTTGTATCAGCAGTAGGCTAGCATTGTCTTAAGGACATGCAAAACAAAAGTATTAAAAATTGTGTAATTCTGGCATAATGTCCTGAATCTTCTAAAGAATTTTATTTTTTGCCCTCTACATCTGTACTTTTTTTGAATGTTATATTTGTTATGTGCAAACAAAATTGGTTTTTAAACCGTTGTTTGCACATTTGCAGTCTTACTTTTAAAGAATGAGAATTTCTTAAACTTGTTTCTGTGTCATTGAAATGCAACTGGCACACCTGAGTATTACATTTTGGTAAGCCTCATATTCTTTACAATGGAATACACATTCCAAAATAAGTCAAATAGTTTTGGAGCAATTTTGATCTTGTCTGTGAAGTGTACATGTGTGCTTCTTGTAGGCAGAGGTCAATTCATCCAGGAGATCTGATGCTGAGCCCTCAAACACATCTGGACTGAACCACTCTGCTGCTTCACGTGAGCCCCAGCAGGATGGTGCAGCTAGAGCATTCCCAGATCCAACAAGTGCGACGGTATGTCCATCTTTGAGCTTTATTGGGCATAGTTTGAACATGAAATTGGTCCTCTTAAACTGATTTGAGTCCTGATTGAAGTATGTAGTTCGCTTACTTATGCTGGAACTCCTGCATACTTTTATATAAAATCTGTTAGCAAATAGTATGCTGAATCATTTTTAGTAATAGCAACCTCTGTTTTCACTTTCTTCTCTTGAAACAAGAAATCATGTTCTTTTATCAGTTCTTCCCAATGTTTCCTTTAATTACATTAAGTGTTCATTAAAACTTTATGGTGTCTGAAGCACTACAATTTACCATCTGCGTAATATAGCTCTGGTTTTTCCTACAAAATTCTTAGAGGCAAAAAATATTTCAGTGATAACCTGTAGCTTTTAAATATCAATCAATACTATCTTCTTGGGTTTTATAACCTCTTAAGTAAGTCTAAAATATTCTTACCATTTGAAATATGACACTTATATTTTAATATGCTAGGTGTGGGGCTTACATAAAGGTTTCAGAAGTGACTGAGGTCTGATGGTGGGCCAAGGCAGCTGCTGTTACGACTGTTGCAAATGCAATCTAAATTCACTGATAAATTGCAGGCAAATCCCAGCTAAGCTGACTTTTTTAGAGAGGATGGGGCTGCAGATTGGTTAAGAAACCTACAACATGTCCAGTAACATCTGTTGTGTGTTTGCAACATGTTTTCAAGCTATGTAGAAATATAAACATGCTAATAGCAATCTTTCTTGCCTCCCACAGTAAGGATTCTTCCAGATTGTTCAGGATTTATTAAACTATTTTATTATATTCTTCTTATTATAAATCCTGGCTAATATAGTAGAAAGATCTCACACTCCAAGGCATTGCTGGCATTTTCTTGAGGAGAGAGATTTTTTTAATTAATCACATTTTTAAGAAAACGAGTTTTATCAATTATACTGATTTAATAATTAATGATTAATTTAATTTTCAGAAGATAAGTCTTATGGAAAATGAGACCTTTAAACATATAAACATATAAATGTATGTAAAAATATTAATATATGTGGTTAACTGTAAATTATAAAAGGGTTCATGTTTTAGGGAATTGAGCTAATATTCGGGATTGTTAGTTTTAGTTTGAATCAACACCTGTGTTTCTGAGCTGCCACATTTTGACTGTTAGGAATTATCTGGAGTTATTCAGTAGTGGAAAATAGCCACACAGTGGAAGAAGGAAATGTGTAACAGGAAAGACTGTTTTAAGGAATTTGAGCTTGCTATTTTTGTGTTCTTATTTATGTGAAAGGTAATAGAAATCATTTCAAAGTAGGGCACACTGGACCTTGATCTGCTTAGAGCTGTTAAAGAGTACCCATGCAAACCTCAGATCTTTTCTACTCATCTGGGTTTCTTGTATGTGTAAAATCCATTTATTGACTTCTTGTGTAAAGACCTAATTCTGCCTTATTAAGTTGTGTTAGATGTGGGTAACATCAAAACATGTTATTCTCTCTTTCTGGATAAAATGTTTGCCACTTAGTCTACAAATGTGTACTTTAATTAAAAGCTGTTCTAGAAACTTTGCCAGGTTTACTCTCTTTGAGGGCCAATGCTGAGTTCTTTTTTAACTTGTGTTAACTTCTGATATTGTAGATTAATGTGTCTCACTCTGAAGTCATGGAACCTTTTGTCTTTCTAGTCAATATAGAGGTGAATACTAGAAGTAATCATGCAATAAAAAAAGAAACTGAATGTTACATTTCTTCTGTTCATTAAAGACACAATAGTATATAGGTGCTAAGGAAGGGGTCACCTCTAGGTGAAAGTGAAGGAATATGTAGACTGTGTTTTACTATGTTTGAGTTTGCTTCATGTTTGAGTTTGTTCTTTCCAGCAACAATTCTCTGTTCCATTATTTTTTTACCTTTAAGTTGCTTGAAAGGCCAAACATGTTTAAATGTGTTAATGCAATATATTTGCCAGCACAGTAATGTCATTTCTGGGATAGTGCTAACTTAATTCTTTTGTGAAGAACACTCTGAAATGAGTCTCTGCCATGGCATCACTTCGTGTCCATTTCTTTGTTCCATGTGGGGCCTTATTCCTGAAGAGAGAATTTTTCATTCCATCAGAAAAAGAGATATTTTTAATTAGCTCTCCCTTCTGTCATCTTTCACCTAGGGAAAGCATTATAGCCTCACTAACTAAAGAAGGACTAAGTCTTACAGTATTTCCATTAAGCATATGTTTTTCAGATTTCAAAACTCAGTTTGAAACTGTTGTTTATGTTTTGGCTGTCATTGTGTTACTCAGTACTTCAGTCTACAGATTCTTGCCCTTTGAAAATACTTACTGTGTAGTTGCTGCATGGATGTGTTTGTCCGTGCACTCCCTACATTATAGAGATTTGCCAGGTGCAAGGCAATGAGTACAGCAGCATGAGATCAAGGAAAGGAACAACACTGCTCTGGAAAATGCTGCCACAGCAACTCATCTAAAAGGATACAGAGCTGCAGAAAACAGTCTTTTGCATTAATTAAACTAAAACAATAGTCTACCTAAGGCATCATGCATAGTATTTCTGAGGAGTCTGAACCCAGTGCCGAGAACACCTCTGACTAGACTACTTCTGACAGTACTTTATTTTATTTGTAGTAGCTGTTGGTGTCTACTCAGGGCAAAGTAATGGTACATTGTTCTTGTCTGAGTGTTCAAAGTGCAAGCAAGGTGCTGCTGCTGAAAGTTGGCTTGATAAAAGTATTTGCCCTTAGTATTAAGGTCCTTCCACCTCTGAGAAAAACAATGTTTTTGAAGGAATATATTATAAATAATCAGGTGGGACTTGGGTCCAGTGGTCACCTAAATTTTGGTACCAAAACTCTGGTCACAGTGGGACTCATTAGTGGAGGCTGGAGCACAGTGCAGTTTACCCAGCAGCAGAGGCTGGTGGGCTGCATTTCTGTCCTCCCCTGAGTGCACAGACTAAATCTGTGTGGATTATGGGTGTCTGAACTTCCACTAAATCTGTACTAATACATTTGGTGTATTGATATGGATAGATGTCCCACCTTGGGGCTTATAGTTAATGAATAAAGTAGATGCCTGGTGAGCTTTATTAAGTAACAAATTAAAAACTGTAGTTAGGTTGTTTCCTGCTAACCTGGGACTACATTAAGCCTCAGTACACCTGTTACTAAACAATATCCTATAGTAGTGACCTGCACTGATAATAGTGGATGAAGCATTATGAGGGGTGATAAAATAAACAGTGTAACTGAAGTCAGCTACTTTGAGCTGATGAAGGAGTTTTCTGTCAGAAAATGAGGCTGTGTTCTGATGCATGAGATTTATAAAAGCCCTTACCTTTAATCATAAGTGCTGAAATACTGGTAAAAGTATTTCCCTTTATCTCTGTTAAGTGCTGTCTTAGATTTGTAATACTACAGCAACCACTTTAAATGTCTTCACAATTGAGAATACTTGGCCCAACTTTGATTCACTAAAAAATAGGCATTTTTCACATCAGCCATTAAGCCAATCTGTGTCAAACTTCAGCAGTTCTTCAGTTGGAAGTTGTACAGACAAACAAGTATTTCACCTGTCCTGTTTTCTGCATCTCCCCAGATCATTAGTATAAGTGAAAGAGGCTTCAGTAACCCAGAGGACTTATATGGTTCTGAGTTCCTGAGTTTGCTGTATTTTTAAAACATCCCTTCTAAGATAATTATTTAACCCTTCTACTATCCTGATAAAAATTTTAAAAATAATGGCCTGGAGATACAAAGAATACAATTAATGCATTTTTCAGAAGACTGAACATGATATAAGTTTCCTTACTTGCTTCTTTTTAGACAAGACAAGATTTTGTTAGTTCTAATATTAGTATATTTTACTGAAATAGCTTGTTCATCAAATAATTTTTCTTATGTCCTTGGAGCAAAGTTTTCTATCAAACCTAACAGTTTCAGAAGCTTCAGAAATAATATGACAAGTAAGAATATAAATAGTATGTAATAATGTGACACATGTGTATTAAATGTCTGTAAAGATCAGATGCTAAAGGTGGCTATAATGTAACTATTATTTAATATTTCTATTTTTACTCTGTTAAGCTTTCATCCATATTTCCCATATGGTTTGGCAGAAACCGTTATTTGGCAGAAACAATGAAAATTGTGTCACATGAGGTGTTGTGTTAGTCTAAAAGTCTTGTAATGTTTGCTTACAAGGATTTTAAAGACTTACCATTAAGCTGAAGACAAGATGTTTGTGATTTTTTTTTAAATATGCAGCCCATCTGCCATTTTTGAGATTCTTAACACTTAAGTCTTCAAACCAAAAAAAAAAAAAAAATCAATCCATCTATCTATCTATCCATATATCTATCCATCTATCTATTGCTATTATTTAAGATACTGTAGCACCTGGACCCAAATTTATATCGGGTCATGATCACTCCTTTTTTAGCTTTTTTCTGCATGTCCGGTAATAGTTGGCCATTGATTATGTTTGGAGTCCCAAGGTGGTGCATTAGCTGAGCTTTGGGTGAAGCCTTTGGTCTGCTGCTGGCCCAATCCATCTATAATTTCCTCAGAAAAATAACTTAAAGCCTTGAAATTGTCTGTGAGATTTCTCTTGGATCACAGATCTGTTCATGTCAGTGTATGACAGATTGTTCTATTCAGAATAGGGTCCTTGTGTTTTATTTTAAAATTTAAGTTCTGTGGTATTGAGAAGATGTGTGTGACAGCCAGTGCTAGTTACTTTTGTCAGTAAGATGAAGGATAAGGAATATTTCTAGACTTTTTTTATATATTTAAAAACTGTTTGAAGAAGAAAAACATTGCTTACTGAATTGATAGTTCTTGTGTCCTAAATTCACTTCTCTCCCTCTCACCTGCTGGATGATGGGAATGTAGATGAGTCTAGGAACTTCATTTTTCAGAGACTAGGCTTCCTCAAGTCAAGTCTTTATTTTCCTTGGCATGCAGAGCTTTCATGTGAGAAGCAGAATTACTTTCTTCTGCAGTGTACTGGAAATCACAACAGGCTGTTTGTGGTGTTCTTGGCTGTCTCTGCTGATAAAATGTATATTTTAAAAACATTTTTCTTTGAAGCTACCCAAGTTGCTTTGCTTATTTAGGCAAGATGCCTGTGTAAACAGGCAAGTTGTCAAATGTGGGGAGTAATTGCATCAGTACTTCCTTGCCAATGATAAACTGTGGGAGCTACTAATGATGGGGAGGTAGGAATGGAAGGCCTCTTCCCTGGGTGGGACAAATCACCGACTAGGTGGAAATTTTGAATTCTTTGTCCACACACAGAAGAGTCACAAGACCAAGTACTATTCACTGTCTTGTGGATTCTCCTGATACGCAGTTGAGGGCATGCCCCATGGAGTCATGTGGAAAGTTTATCTTTTATGGGTATAGTGGATGGCTGAAGCAGTGCTTAAGGTTATGGATATTGGGTCCATTAAAAGGCTTTGGGAAAAAATCTAAAATGTCAAGAATTCTAGTTTTACCTGGTGTAATCATAATCCTTTAGAAGGAAAGGAGGAGAAAGCTAACTCTGGAAAATAGTTACAAATTGGTTTAAGTAGGAATATCAGAAAACCTTATTTTCTGATGACTGAAAATGAGACTTAAAAATTTTAAAAGCCTGCAGTTTTTTCTCAGAGGTTCTTTTTTTTTAAAACACTTTTAAACTTAACCTTGTCAAAATGCTTATTTCTAATGACTGCTGTGTACTACTGTTTTTAATATTAAACATTGGAAGTTTCAGCTTTTCAGTATTGCAAGCAAGATAAGTCTGATGGGAGATCAGATGTCATATTTTCTAGTTCATAAGAGTGAAACTTGTTTTTTTCAGCATAAAATTCTCATGAACAGAGTATCATTTGCCAAAGCATGTTTTTTAGTACTTGTAATGTCAGACTGATTTTGACCAGTAGAGGACAGTAGGTAAGTGCTTGCACATGTGCTGTGCTCAGGAACGCCTGCTGGGATCAGGTGTTTGTGGTTAGGATTTTTGTTTTGGTTTTTCAGTGGTGATGGTGGTGATGAGAACAGACTTCTGGACCCAGCTCTCCACAGGAAGCATTGCAGCATTACTTAATTACAGTTCTTGGACTTCTCTCCATCCTTCTTTGGCTTCCCCATCTTGTTTCCCCTTCAGTATAGGTGACATTGCAAATCCTCAGAGATATGACTACTCAGAGGATTGTTAAAGATTTCTTGAGCAGCAAAGAGTTAAAACAAATCCTAGACAAAGATATTTGAAATCTCTAACACAACTATGGTTTGACAGACTTCCTTCAACCTTCTCTTGTCTATAGGACCGCTGATTTTCAGCTTGAAATACACTTCTACTCAGGATAGTGTATGGACAAAAACAACTGGCTACAACAATCCTGTAATTTTTAGTGACATGTATTAACAGTTATCTGAAGAGCACATTTTAGTTCTTATGATTTTATCTCTTGCTAATCTTATGTGCTGTATTGTCTGATGACTCTCAACCTCTCTTTTTTAGCCTGAAAGCCAGAGTGGCAGTCCAGTGGCTGGCCAGGAGCATACTCCAGCTGTGTCGAGCACCAGCACCCCGCTGAGCCCTCGGCAGCGCCGCGCGCAGCAGCAGAGCCAGAGACGGGCCCCAGCTTCCACCGACTTCAACCGGGCACAGCAGCCCAGAGTCAACACCAACCACACGGGCTCAACCGTGCTCATTGTCCTGCTGACCTTTGCGCTGGCAGCTCTCATATTTCGTAGAATATGTTTGGCTAACGAGTACGTGTTTGAGTTATAAGGTTGTTTGTCCTAACAACAGTGACTTGAATGCTTCACTGAACCTTCTGTATTGGCTATGACATGAGAACTGTTTACAAAGGTTACTTTTTGTATTTGCGCTTAAATCCTTATGAATGTTAATGTACCTACAGATACATTACTTGTAGGAAAAGCAAAGTTGGACATGTAAACTATGAGTTTTAATTGAGTGCCCACTAGATACTTGGAGAAACGGTGCAGTGGAATAGTAATATTAAGGCATATGGGATGGGACTAAATTTGAATAATTTATGAACTAGTAAAAGAAGATTTTTTTAAAAATGGTTGATTCAATTTTTTATGGGGCATAAATGCTCATATAAGTACCCCATCTAAGTTAGTATAAGATTTGGCATTGAAGAGGGGATTATTAAATGAGTCACTGCTATGTGTTTTGTGAACTCCTAATTTAGAGGGAATACAGTTTTGTAACTGCTTTTATTTGCCATGACACATTTCCAGAGGTGAAACACAAATTGGTTGTTATGCTGCTTTGTGTGTGTGGAAGGGGGAAGGGACTGTGGGAGGAAAGTAGGTGCCAGAAAACAACTTGCATTATTTTGATTTTTATTTTTCAGAATAAAGATTGGGTAGTCTTTTGAAAGATTTGAATGTCCTCTTCTAGTACTTTCAACTGTATATCTTGTTTCTAAAATTTGAAGATTATGCAAAACATGTTTATTCTTGCAATAGTTATAAATATGTAATATAATTATTTACCCAGAGCTGTTGTCTTTTAATTATACCAGAAATATACATAATGTGTTGAACTGATTGTTTCGTGTGTGGTTTTATTTGCTAAAGAAAATTTAAACCTTATTATACTTAAATTCTCATATATATGAACATGCTTAACAGAAGTATTTATTACAATCCTGCTAGTAATAAAGTTTCGAGCCAGTCTTTGGATATGTTTCAAGTATCACATGGCAGTTTGTTTCTTGTTTGTCTGAGGGTTTCTTTGGTTGGTTGGTTGGGTTTTTTTCTCTGGGTTTTTTTTTTGTTTTGGTTTGGTTTTTTTTAGGGGTTTTTAAATTATTTTGGTTTTTTTAATCTTTTTAACCTAAAATCAATATTTTGGACCCAGAGATCTACTTATTCTAAGTCCCTGGTAATATTCATGAACATGTGAAAAGGCATATACAAAGAGTAGACCTACAGTTGTTAGGGTTTTGAGAAGTTTTGTCTTTGACTATTTAAATACTGAAGTGTAAGAAAGTGGGATAATTTTCCTCTTGTATTATTGTTCAAATTCAAATTACTGTTCAGCATTTTTATTTCAATGACAAGGAAGTTTAGATAGCTTTCATTTTGTTGCTGTCAAACATAGTAGCACTAAATTAAGTGAGATTCTCATCCTGTTTTTCAGCAACTATATCAAGCTAGCTAGAGCTTTCTTAAATTTTATCAACTATAGTGTATATTACTGTATTGCAACGTTAAAGTAGCTATAACAACTTCTAAAATAAGGAAAACCCATTTTGTGTCTAAGGGAGATGTGTAAATTAGAAAACTCCCCGAATCTGAGTCTTTTAGCATTTCTCTGTATTGTTGATAATCTTGTTCGCAGGTATAATGGGAAAAAAAAAGTGAAAAAATAATTTTATAAGAAATTCAGACAAAAAAAGTATGTATTTGTTCAGCAGCTAGACTTTCTGCTGCAGACCAATTTGATGTCAATATATTAATCAACATATTTTTACCTAATTTGTCTTATTTCATTACAAATTAAATAAAAACAAGCAAAAACCAATACACAAAAATCCCACACCAGAACCCTAAAAAACCTGTTCAGATCCTGTAGCCTCTAAAATAGAAGTCCTGTGTTTACTTGGTGTGGTGCTTGTATCCCCATTCAAGTCTGCAAACGTGGGCTGACGGAGGAGAGTTCTGGAAGAGGTCAGACCCTCCCGGACCGTTCTGCTGGGTTTGGGTCGCTCGCTCCTCTGCAGCCTCTGCTCTCAATGTGCTTTTCCTGTCCTGTGCCCAGCAGACTTCTGCCCCTGTACCAGGCGCTGCTGCTGTTAGCACGGCCCGGTGCTGCACAGAGGCCAAATCAGCATTGCCCTGTACCTGGGCTGTGAGGAAATAAGCCTTGAATGGATTTTGGAAACAGCCTTGTCATTGTGATTAAAGAAATAGCTGCTTTTAATTTTAGTTTTGATCTCCTTTGATAAAAGTTAAAGTGCCTGATTATGCAAATGCCTTTTGGAAAAAAAAAATAATTGCGACTTGGTTTATGTAAAGGCAATCACATCCATTAGTTGGGAGTTACTGTTTTTATTTGCCTTTTAAGTCAACAGTAAATAAAGTCGGCTTCTTCAGAGGAAGTAGCTCATATTCTGTTGTCAACAACATGAAGAGTTAGAAAATAAAATCTCAACTGCCCTAAATTCATTAAAATAGGTGCATTTTGCAGTGAGATACATGTCTGAAACGTGGCACAGACAGTTAGCAGTTGAAAAAGATGCCGCACAGCGGGTCAAAACATGTAGAAAGCCTAATGAAAAGGGACAGCCCGGTTTTACAGCCCGGCACGGGGATAGCACTGAGATTAGGGGATTGAGCAAAAAGCCGGCGTGCAGAATTGCGGGTTTTTATATAATGGCTTTAGTCAGTATCCTTTAGGACCCAGCAGCGATGTTCAGTGAGGCAAACTTGGTGAGTAATGGCCAATCATTAGGCGGTGATGAGGGAAAAGCGCTGGGTGAAGCCGCCGGGAGCCTGTCGAATGCATCGCGCCGGGGACGCGGCGGTTCCGCCGCTGCTCGCCCAGCGGGGCGACACGCCAGAATTAGAGTTGATTCAATGTTTAAACCCGGGGCGACTTGTACCGCAGGACGTCACTGGAGTGCAGAGTGCCCGGCTCCCATTTCCAGCAAGATGCCTTATTTCACAAAACTCCTTTTATTAATCTTCTGCTTAGTTCTTCTTGTGGAAAGCAGAAAGCACAGGAGGAGGAGGTGGACGACCCATCTGGATGTGCAGAGGGCAAGGTAAGGGTTACTAAACCGTGTCTGTATCTTTTCCTGCAGTGTTACAAATACATTACTACAGGGATAAAAACCTACTCTGTCAATGTCTTCATGTGTATTGTGTGTGCAACAGCTTTACAAATAATGTTTTTATAACAGTCTCTGGTAGTATAATCAGTTTTATAGGTAAGTGGACAATGCTATGGCTAACCTTGATTAACTGTGAGTGAGGCAGGTTTTGCTGAGAAGTTCACTGCTTCAGCATGGATTGTGGGAAAATTATTCTTAGCCATACATGCAAATTTCTGAGGGAATTCAGAGGAGTTGCAGTAAACAGAGATGGTCAAATGTGCTTAGTGTTTAATGTTTCAGCACTGTTTCGGGGCAGATTATTCACCTGCTTGCTGCAATGTCTGTGTTACTTATGTTCACTTGGAATTGCTCATTATGCTCTGACAATTACAGATGGGGATGTTGGTTAGCACATATTGTGGTAATTGATAACAAAATAAATCCGAAAAGTTAGCCAGGGACTGTAAAATTATAAATATTTTTTGAAGAAATACATGGAAGCTTAAAAAACCCATATTTTAAAGTTAAGTGAAAACGCAAGAATGAGTTAAAGGTCTTAGTAAAGTTTATTAGATTTACCGCTGCTGAGATTTGTCTAGAGGTTTACATTAGAAAAGATAATCTTCCAAACCTGCCAGACAGTCCACAGTATGTTATCCTTTTTTGTGGTTATGTCATCCAGTGGCAGTTATATTTTACAAGACTATTCATTGTTTGAAGGGCTCAAAATTAAATTGGGTTAATCCATTTTATTAAATGGTTTCATTGTGGCTGTAAACTTCAAATTTTCATTTATTTTTGCGGACTTTTTGGTTTATCATTCAACACTTTTATAGGGAGTGTTGTTACTTTAATGTTTTGAAAAGAAACATGATAAATTGGAAGCAAAGATATGCTATCAGATTTACACTACTTATTAAAAAAATACAGTGGCATATGCTTTTAGTGACGTAAATGTTAAAAAGCTGAAACAGCCAGGGCCTCATAGTGAAATCCTATAGACAACTGAAACTTTACCACTGATGTTCACAGAAACTCAATTATTGAATATTTCATTGAACTCTGAAAATATTCCAAAGTCTATATTCTGAGGAATGTGGAGGATTGAACAGTAGCACTTCCTTGCAAACCTTTCTGTGTAGTAAAGATTGCATACTTTGAAGTAATAAAATAGTGTAAATCCTTCTTTAAATATCAATTTGCCCTGAAGTAAAAATTTCCCTGCTTTAAAAGTTTTGTACTTTATTTGAACTTGGAGAAAAGTTCTACAGTGCTGATATTTTCATGAGTTGTAACAGAGTGGAAGTCAAAGCAGTTCTAAAATTGTTTTTACAAATACCCTACAAAGAATAGCAATACTATTTAGTATTCTGTGGTGTAATAAACGAAATGAACAATTTTCCATCTAAGTAGGATCTGAGGAACTATATGCCATATATATATATACACACACATATACAATTCCTATGCAATGTAGTTATTTAAAAATTTATAAAATCAGATTTGAGGGATTGTCGAATGAGAATGACAGTTTAAATACAGAGAATTCTGCAATGTTGCAACATAAAGATGTGTATGGAGCAGTGTTGTTAATATTTTAATTTTCCTATTCAATTATATTTCAATTTTTTATATTTCAATATTCAATTACATTTATTTTAAAGAAAAAAATTAGTTGTCCCTAAACCAACAATGAATAGTAAATTACCAATTACTAAATTACTAAAATAATTAATTCTAGAAAACTGAAACTAAAACTAGTTCCTAGGCTGGTTTCCTAATCATGTAAGAGAAATTAAAAGAATGCTCTTTTAAATTATTTCATCACATTTTCTGCTTAGTATTTCTCTTGCTGACTTACTGTAAGAAACAAAGTAAATTCTACAGTACATGTTTCTTATTAAAGAAAATTTATCCCTATATTGGGGAGTCTACAGTTGGTAAGTTTGATATTTTGTGTCCACTAAGGTGATAAATCAGCCTGATCTGAAGATCTTTATATAGACTTCAAGACTATTGCTTGGGTTTGCAGGTGCAGAACTCCTTCAGTGCTGTAGTTTCTTCCTTGGACATTGCACAGAGGTCCCCGGGGTGCAGAGGTCCTTCCCTGCGGAGCTCTGGGTGCGGCTGGTCCTGCGAGTTCTGGGGGAGCTCTCTGCTACCATTCTGTGGGGAAGTTGTTCAGCCTGTGACTAAGTGGGAAAGGAACACGGGGAAAGTCAGGTTAGGAAACCAAATTAAGAATTGCCAGGTTAAGTTGCCTGTGCATCCTTAGTTACTCCTGGTTGTTTGTGTTAATACATTGTAACACATTCCTTTTTTTCCATGAGCAGTGCCTTGCTCAACATGCCGAATGGATAATCCTTGCTTGATTAGAAACTGCCTTGCATTTAATTTTCTCTTACTCCTGCATCCCCCCTCACTGATAACACATCTCTGCTCCTACAGATTGAGGTATAACATAAAGAAACAACTGCCTGTGTGCATCACTGCCCTGACTGTTGTCCTAGATGGCCTCATGTTATGATCTGGAGAGCCCAGGCTTTGCATAGGAAATTGGTGTGTGCTCATCCAGTAGCAGCACCTGGCTTTAGATTTTAATAGTAGTTTTTCACATTTTCCATGGTGTACAGTCCCTGCCACTCACACTGAGAAAATAAAGGATATCAGTGATACTTGTTTCTATGAAGCTGAGGGTATTCTTGCTGATGTGCATGATGTACAAATGGTACATGAAACTCAGGGCTCTAGAACTGTAACAGCATTGTTGGTTAAAAAATTTTGCATTTCATTTTGTTTGGAGAATTCAAGTGATGAATGAATCATGAAGTAGAACCTGTTGTTGGAGTCACCTGGGTGACTGCTGGGCAGGGCGTGTTTGCCCCAGCCTTACCTGCACACCAGAGAATAAATTGACACAGAGAAAGAACAGCCCGGTCCTGAAGGAATCGGTGTAAATGTGGAAAGGTGCAGGTGTGTGTGTCAGATGGTCAATGTTGCTATGTAGATAGCTGGGATTTTCCAGAGAGCTGTGTACACAGTTTGGGCTCACGCTGCCAGGGCAGGTCGTAGTACTGGCTGTACAGTGTATGTAGCTGTGCTTGCATCTTCCTCAGAGCCTTACCAAGTGCCAAGCAAGCACTGCTGGAATGTTCATCATTGAGTTTTTGAAACAGTTTTGAGTACTCTTCAGTAGCTCAGCAGTGGCTGCCTCTCAGAAAGAGTAAACAAATGCTGGCAATCCTGCTAGATTATCCAGCTGGACAGAATTCACAAAAGGCAAAAAGAAACTCTAAAAATTAGTGGGTTTGCTAATATTTACTGCTCTATAAAATTGCTGATAATGCTTCTGGTAATGTTTATTGCTCTGCATAAATTGAGAACTCGGGAGACATTTGCCATCACTGTTGTGCCAATGAATACCATGTTTCCAGTGATCTGTGCCCACCCTACGCTGAGTCTGCCTGTTCCTCTCTCCTACCAGCCATGTGAAGCCTCATGCTTCAGCAGCAGAAAAACTGCCTTTGATATAGAATGGCCTTGGCCTGTTCTTAGCTAAAGACTTCCTGCCAAGGTTTTTGGAAGTGGTCAGTCCTTTGGAGAGTCTCATTAGAGATGCCGTTTTCAGGGCATGCTACATGCCAGCCTTAGGCTGGGACCCAGAAGCAGAAGGCAATCACCAGGACACAGCAGCACAAGGCTCAGCACACAAACTGTTTTTCCAAACATCATTCCACTGGAGCAAGCAGTCTGGTGATCCCTGCTGAAACTGCTGCTGCCGGCAGCAACTTCCCTCCCTTGCCTTGTGGAGCTGCATTTTTTTCCGTTTTCCAACTGGATACTGCAGACACATCCTCTAGGCTGTGGTACCTCCCAACCCTCACAGATCCTCTTTACTCTATTGGTGGTTTCTCAAAAAATGTGGAGTTTGTTAGTGCTTCAGTGATTGAAATGTGATAGCCATTTTTTACAGGTGTATGTCTAGCCCAGGGCTCAAGTCCAGGGCACTGGTGAAGCTCTGGTGCAGGGTTTGATACCTACTGAAGCTTTTTTCCCAGCACTGCAGCATCAGCCAGGGCCAAAGAGCAGTGTGAAATAAAAACAGGCAGAGAATGTGTATGACAGCAGTGATTGTGCACACCCTTTGAGTTTGTGTCCATCCTTTTCCAGAGTCAGATTTAGTTTTTCTAGAAATATGGCAAGGAAAGTCACATTCCTTTCCTTCCTGCTCCCAGCATAAACCCACAGATGAGTAAGTGTGAAGCATGTTACATCCAGAGGCAGGGCAACAGAGTCCCTCTTCCCTGGGGCTCTGGAAGCAATAGAGACTGGTGTGGCCACCCAGCCCAAGACAGACCTATCTTGTGGAGATGCCAGGCCTTCCTGGGCAGCTGGGGCTCCTAAAGCACTTGAATTGGTGGTCCTGACGGGCATTGGAAAGAGACTTCACCAAAATCGAGGATCTCGATGTTCCCAGTTTGTCAGAAATTTCTCAACCACATCTGATCCCATCTGATCCTTGCATATTAAAACTAAAGATACACTCATAACACAGTGGTGATAATAAATTTGGAATTCTCATCTAGGAGTGAACTAATTGTTATGACAGTCATAACAATTGTTCTTGTACCCTCTCTTTTTAATTTAGCTTCTAAGCCTTTGTGTTGCAGCAGTCACATGCTTTGGTGGTTAGAAAAACAGGAGGCCTCGTACCTTCCTTGGCGCTGGGTTTACACAGTGTGCATCTCCTCCAGCTTGCTCTGGCTGCCACACAAAGTGAATCATGCCTTCACCTAATGCATTTTGGGATTATTTCCCCCCACCCCCCAGAGAATATACTGAAGAGTGGCAAGATTTTCACTGAAACTGTAGAAATACTTCTCTGCACCCCAATTATGTATTTGGAACCAAGGTCCCATGAACATGGTACCATCTTGTGACCAAAATCCATCCTGAATTCTCCAGGGGAAGGTACAGAAACCTGCCAGACTCTGGCTGCCAACAGCTGTGCCATGCTCAGGATGGAGACCATATTTCCTTTCAGGCTCTCTACTTAGCCATGGCCTCCTGCCCTACAGCACGAGGACTGTTTCCAATCGGAAAGTTCTTCATCTTGCTCTGGAAAGGTCTGAATGTCTGCATAGACGTCTGCTCTTTTTTGCATCTGCTGAGTTGTTATCTGTAATTTCTCATGCCACCAAGAATGAATTCTCTTTGATATATTTGGCCATAGAAAAAGCATCTATTTTATGCAATTGAGGCAATTCTGAGTAAAAGTCACTGGAGAGGAAAATATATTTTTAAAAATTAGGGCAATAATGCAGAAGCTTTTACAGAAGCTCAATGAGCTATCTGTTGCCTTCTCTTTAAACAGGAACAATTCTTCACAGAAGTCAGATTTATCAAATTCATGCCCCTTGAATGAAATAAAAAACAGCAATAAAATTATATATGAAAAATGTGGCAAAAAAGACAAAGGGAGATGGGTGGATTTAAATGAATAACGGTGAATTGCAGAGAATGCATAAAGCTGAAAGAAACCCTAACAAATCTATAATCAGAAATGCTAAAGACCATAAGTACATCAGGGAGGATTTATGAGATACTGGTGATCAGATTGTCAGTAAAGGCACCCTGTGGGCAGCAGTGTCCAGAGCACCCTCCAGCTCCACAAGAGCACTTGCAGCTTTGCTGCAGGTAGTGAGATGGTGCCTATGCCAAACAGCAGTGGGGCTGGCATGGGCTACTGCCAGAGTGGGGCAGAAGATACAGCACAGCTGATGTCAACCACTTCATAAAGAATTTTTTTTTTTTCAAACAAATTTGGTCTTGAATTAGATTAAATAGACAAAAGTAGTCTATTTAAATAAATTTTAAAGGCTGTGTAGACTTCCTGTAATTAAGAATATTTAAATACAAAAACATTGTGAATGGATTAAATTGGTTAAAAAGGGACTGTCAGAGCTCTTTCGGTAAAATATGAATTGGCCGTTATAATACCTGAAGGACTGGGCATGAACTGATGATTAAATGATGGTTATTAAATGCAATCCCTGGCTCAGGATGTGCCTGAAAACCTCTTTTCTTCCTAAGACAGTATCTGTGTCCCCAGCCAGCCCTCTAAACCTCTGCAGCCACAGACTGTTTTCAGCAGCTCTCCTGTGTGCTCTTTGCTGTTTGATGATTTTTAAATAATTGATCAAAATGTAGCATTTCAGTGAGGCTGAGCCATTGATTTGCAAGATAATACTGCCAGGGTTTTTCATACTAATTCTTTGTACAATGTGCAATCCAATGTTTTATTGGATTTTTAATTGGGCTTTTTTTACTCCCTTCTTTGAGGAGAGAGACTTGATTGAACATTCCCTGGTACTTTGGCTTTTCCCTGATGATTAAAGTCAAGCAGACACAGGGAGATCCCTTTTCTGGACTTTGGGCTTGTCGGGCACAGAGGCCGTGCAGCGGATGGTGGAGTGGAGCAGCAGCCCTAACTTCGCAGCGAAACAAAGCTTCCCCCCTGCAGCAAGCAGCTAAAAGCCAAGCTTTTGCCTCCAACCATTCCCATTAATGGTTGTGCTTGGTTTTACACCCCTCCTTTCAGGTACCATAAAAGCCTTTTCGAGAGGGTGCTTGTTCCAGCTGGCTCTTTCTCACAGCCAGCAGGGAGAGAAGCTCTGACATCCCAAGTGAAACAGGGGCCCAAAACAACCTGAGGGAGATCCAACTCTTCCTATGTAGTATGTGCCCTGGGGTACAACTGCTTATATTCCTTCAAAACATCTATTTGATACAATTAATTATAAATTCTGTTACTTCCTTTTCACTTACTTATGGTAAGGAAATGGGTTATTGATGTTAGCAGCAGCTATCAGCACCCTTTAGGTTTCAACATTTCTTTCTTGAACTGAGTGCCCTGATGGGAAACTTTTCTTCTGATTTGTGATTTATGCTCCCTTTGACTCATACTTATTGTGCTTTATATTTTAATGAAGCTAAGAACATCCCTTTACATACCCACACTTATGAGTGGGGTGATTGTTTTGTAGGTTCTGAATTCTTGACTAAGACTTTAAGGCCAAGTAGTCCCTTTATTTTCCTCCAAAATTTTTTGTTCTATATTTTCAGTCATATTTCTTCCATGCAGGAAAAGGAACCTGAACCCTTTGTAAAAAGTTATTTCTGTTTATCATAATTATTTTTAGTAAGTTACTGGAAACCAGCTATTGCAGCAGTACTTACAACGTTGTCAGCTCTTATGTCCAGAGCCAAAGGAATTGAGGGACTTTAATGGCCTAAGTCTTCCACTCACACCACTGGAGGACAGTCAGGGATGCTGATCTGGATTTTCTTCCAGCAGTGCATGCAGTTTGTTTGTCTGCTGGTTAGTTATCCCCTTATGTGATTTTAATTACTATCTTGCACTTTACTCAGGGGCTTGTTGTCATCCTTGTTCCACTGTTATCATAAAATATTTCAAATAAAAAGTAAGAATTTTTCCTACCTTAATGTTCAGAAAAGTGAGGTGAGGGACTGAAGGCTTCGTTAGATAAAACTCCTCTCTTCCTGCTGTTTTGGGGAGGTTTTGTTGCTGCTGAAAGCCAGAAGACCCACTGTCCACACAAACTGCTGGCACTGAATTGGTGAAGTTAATGGGGCAGTTTCCAAGTAGTGCATGACATTGCGTGACCAGCACTGAAAAGAGATTTTTTATGACAGTGTTGCCTTGGTACCTGGCCAAATCCTGGCCAGGTAACGTGGGGCCCCCAGCTGCCTCCACTGGTGCTTGCTCTCAGCTGCAGCATTCACTGCGTGCAGCTCCCCGTGAGATGCTCTCTGCCTTGTGTCTCCCTGGAGCCGGTGTGGCTGGGGCAGAGGGAGCACCACGTCCTTGGAGAGGGGCAGAGGAAGCAGGGCTGCCTGTGGGGCACAAAGGTCTGACTGATGCTGTGGAAAGGCAGCTCTGGGTCTGTTTTGGTGCTGGCAGTCTCCCCACAGTCCCTGGGATTGTGCCTGCAGAGACCCTGCTCCTGTGGCTCCGCAGCTGGGCTGGCAGCTGTGGCACTCGGGCACAGAGACATGGAGCAATGCCATTGCCGTCTTTTGCAGCCACATCTTTAAGAAGAATCGCGACCTGACCAAAGCCTGGAAAGGAAAGACGGAGCAGCTTCTCAGGGTCGACGAACACGACTTCACCATGCGGCCGGCCTTTGGAGGTGAGGATAAAATGATTCTCTTAATGCTGTGCTAATCTAATTAAGAATAATCTAATTATCCAATTAACAATCTAATTAAAAACCAAGCAAACAAACCTCTGCTCAGATGCATCAGTGTGAAGGGAAAAGTCTTGGTGCCAGTTCAGAGAGACCTCATGCTCATCATCCTTGCCCTCTGTGCTCTGTACATTTCCAACATCCCTCCCTGTTGCTGCAGTTGGCTCTGTTTTTGACTGGCATTCCCCAGAGTTCAGGATGGACCATCCCAGTAAGTGTTTCACTCTGTTGAGAACAGGAATAAGCTGCAGGTTTTAACATTCACTTATGGTTGTGAAGTTGCACTGAGCTTTTCAGCTGATGTGATTAAATTGCAAAGTAAAGAACTCATCGGGTGGATCACAGCCTGCCATTACTAAGAGAAAACTGAATACGTTAGTCAAAAAAAAAAAAATCTTATCTCAAATTCTCATAAGCAAATAAAAGAGTGGGAGGGGAGACCTCTGCCAAATTCACTTCTGCCTTCAGCCACACTCAGTTACAGGTGTGTGCTTGCCTGACCTTTCTAGACTCACTACTGCAGAGATAAGAGGGTACCTGAACAAAAACTGCTGGAAGACCAGTATGGCAATCCCACTTCTGATTACATCAATAACCAAATCCTTCCAGAGCTAAAGACAGAGTTTTCTGTAGTTTTCACTGAATGACTAATGCTGCATCCTTTGTCAATTGACCATCTAGGGTGAAGTGCTACCTCTCCCTGCCCAGTGGGACACATGAGTGTTGTGCCCTTTATACTTGGTCCATGGAACATATTCTCAGGCCTGCCCATTCCTGGTGTGGCTCAAAAGATGCTTTTTGCCCCTCAGTGCAGATGTGCCATTCTGAGAGCATGGTGCTGAACACTGCTCACAATTTACATATGTATTTTCAAACTCCAGAGTTCAAAACCTGTCATAACCTGTCATAACCTGTGTTATGACAGTGTTCCCTGCCCCTGCAATGTTATTTACCAGCAAGTTGTAGTCCAGCCTAAACATTGGAGGTAACTTTTTTCTAATCAGCGTTACCTTGGACTGCTACTTCTAGGGTGGAGGCACTGGGCTTCTTTATGAATTGGCTGTAAAAGTGTGAATTCACCAAAGTGCACATGCCTCCCTAAATCCCAGGTATGCCCCCCTGTACTATGAGGTCAGAGGATGCTGTCTTAGATTTTCTGATTATTTTTAAAATTTTTTTAACCTATTTCAATTTTTGCAGCTTGGTGCTGTTGACTTCTGAGTGCCTGATATGGACAACCTGAAGGTGCTGATCTATCCTCTCTGCAGCTGGTCTGTCCTCTGGACAAACAACCTGCTGGTCTGATGGGTGGGATGATAGGGCTTCTCTGGGAGGATATTTAGACTCCCTACCTTGCCTCAGTTGGAGACATCTGGGGAGCCATGGTGATTTTTTAAACTTTTTTCCCCCTAGCTGGATGTATGTCAGGGCATCATGCCTGTTTTGGGGGGAAGCTGCAGGGTTTTGTTCTTTTGTGCTGATGGTTTGGCACCCAGTGGCACCACTGCACTGTATTTCTGGAAACAGATCTGAATTTAACTATTTTCATCAGGGCCACAGGGTCCTTGAAGAATGCAATTGAGCACAGGTCACACCAAACAGACACATGTAATTACACAGACACTCTTCTAGTAAAAGCATTTTAATCTCTCTTTTGCCCTGTTTTACCATCACAACATCGAGATTCTTCTAGAGCCAACATTTGGAATAACATTTATAAAACTGAGAAATACCCTAAGAGCCTTTGCTGAGAAGGTTCCTTTTTTATAAAGGAAAAACATGATGGGTTTTTTAAATTTTTGCTTAAAACCTCCTTATCTTGCAGAGATTCTTGGGACAAAAGTATGCACTGAAATTGCATGTGATGAGGAGCAAAGCATGGAAAAAGCTTTGTTGAGGCTCCAGCCTTGGAAAGCCTGACTCAAAAACACAGAGATAGCAGGTGCTGCAGGTTCTTGCTCAGCTGCAGAATTGCACAGTGTGTTTTTAGTGACAGATGATAAGCCTAGTGGAAAAAAACCATAAAGGAAAGGGAACAAAAGTCTGGCAAGAAGTGATCCTCCTAGTTTTGTCTGTAATGTTATTCGTCAGGCAGTCACAGTGATTTGCTACGCACCGTGAGTCCTTCCAGCTTCTTGCTGTGGCAGTGTCAGTCAAACTGATGTGGTCTGACCTGCAGAGGATAGAAAAGCTTTTGTACTGCCAAAGTGGAGAAGAGGAGCCTGTGGGATACATGTGACTGTAACTGGTCACTGCCCTAAGGCTCCCTCTGGTCTAACTGAGATTCCAGCTCTATGGCATTGCATCGGGCCTGTGGGGTTACCTTGCAGGTGGGAAAGGCACCTCAGTTCTGGAAAAGTAAAATAATACCATAAGTAAATGGTGAGTGGCACTAAGACTAAAAGAGACCCAGTACTGTTGATGGTTCTCAAGTTTGGTAGGCCAGCCTGCAATTCCACCCTGTGCTAAAAAGGGGATGAGATTCGAGCTCTTTTATGGTGGCCATGGTGACACTTGCTGGTCTGCAGAGGACAGTCAGAAAGCTGCCAGCCCAACACAGCTGTGACTACTGGGCAGAGCAGGCTGGGGTTATGCAAGGGGAAATGAAAAAAACAGTATTGGAGAAAGGTGAAGGGTTTTTCAAGAAAAAGTATCTTTGTAAAGAGCAAGTGAGCAAACAAACGTTGTGTAAGTTGTGTTATTAACAGCCCAATAAGCATGGCTTCTTGCCTCCCCTCAGCCCATTAGAGACAGATAGCTGAGTACAGAGGCAATGACAAAGTTTTTTGCTATGATGATGATCAAAGAGCTTCCAAAAGCTAAAAGAGACTGCAGGGTTTTTGACCCTTAGGGAGTTATCTCTATGTCAGTGACCTTATTCTAGTTAGTAGCAGATGTTCAGGTATTATATTCTATTATTAATATTTAAAGATTATGTAAATGTTTGTTTTGCTGCCTTCCTTAAACACCCATTTTAAGCATTTCATTTATGACATCTCATATTTTACAGGGAGCCTGTGAATAAGCAGCTTTAGTTGATACTTAAAATAGCTGTATCTTCTTTATTGAGGACCACTTAATGCTTTACTTTTATTATATTTGCTCATAGCCGAGTAGCCTAATGTCAGCAGGTCCTTGCTGCCCTTTTTGGGCAGTGCTTTTGCCAGGATGGATGAACAGTGGGATGAATAAAGCACGAGTAGCTCACTGAGTGTTAGTGAAAAGGGCTGGAACAGAACTTGCCTCTCTGCTGATGAGTAGCTGCCATGAGAGGCAGAGGGACGAAGCCCTGCAGCCATGGGGAGGTGATGAGCACGTCCTGGTGCTGGCTGCCTGGGAGCTGCCCACACCTAAGAGGTCCCACGGTGGTTTGCAGTCTCGCTGGGTGTGCACGAGATACCTGTCAATAAAGAAATCTCAAACCCACTCGTTTCTCATGTACAAGTTTTTATCTCAGGGCCTTCATCTGCCTCCCTCCTCCAAAGATAGATGAGTGGACACTGTCTCAGAGAGAAACAATGAGCCTTTGAAAGCACTGCCAAAGAGAAAAATTAGAGATATCACAAAGCTTTAGTCTCAGAGGTGGAGTGAAAAACTGACTCCAGGCATCTTCATGGTAGCGCACTCTTCCCTCTCCTCCAAAGTCCGCTCCAGTGTCAGAAATAAAAACCATGTTTGCACCCAGTTCTGACTCGGAACTGAGTCACACTTTGAAGCTTTCATGCTGCCCACTGGTTGGTGTTTTTAGGTGTGGAGACACACTGGGGTGCAACAGGCTTTAATATTGGGCTCCTTCTGAAGTCCTTCCTGCACGGGACTTGTGGAAACCTCCTGGGTTCCCTGGGGAGGTTAGTCCAAGGCCAGACATCCCATTCAATCTGGGGCAGGGTTTGATTCTCAAACTGGAGTTTTTGCAAAATGAAACAAGCCAAAAATGAAACAAGCTGTTTCTTTGTGTCAGAACCAGCCCAAAATTAATTTGACTGATACTTTTCAGAGACTCTAAAGTGTGATCTGAAAGGCTCTGCTGTATTACAGGCTTTGAGCAAAGCAGCACTGCTTCCTTTTATCAACCATATCCCCAGCTTTCATTTTGCTTCCTGTCCAGCAGTGAACATCCTAGAGAGGAGCCTGAGCTTTGAGATCTCTCCAGTGTTAATGTGTTCAAGTTTTTGTGGCTTACAATTCTCTAGGATGATCCTTCTATATTTCCTCCTTCTGAAGAAGAGGTGAATATTGATAAAATATTGTTTATGACAAAGAAAGCCTAGTTGATGAGGGCTTTTTTGCATCTAATGCTATAATCAAAGTTAATTGTTCTGTCTACCATTTCATTTTGTCATATATCATCTGAGCTGTTCTTGTTCCTTCACATTTACACCCTCATCATACTCTGCTCCCTCTCAATACAGAGAGTATTTTTCTTTTTACTCGTCCCTAGTGGCATTTGATGAGGAATTTGGCAAAACACCATGAGCCTCTGTGGTTCAGCTGTTCAGTTGCCAGAGGGACAGGATTTAAAAGCTAGCAGTTCCTAATTGACTCCATGGGTTAGTGAGATCAAAGATCTCCTGACATATCTCTCTGGGTGATCAACAGCCTTTTAATTCAATGGTATGTGCTGTAGCCAACATGACCTTGAAGGAAACCCAGGGTTTGTTTCTGTGGTTTAAAGAGGTCATTTCTAGACAGGGCTTCTACTTTGCTTCAGAAGCTGCATGCACTTTCAGTGTTTCCTGCATCAAGTACCTTTACAAAACTGCATCTTGATGTTTTGTAGAGTGATGGGCTGAGTGAATACACAATTATCATTATCACTTATGCTCATTGCTGAGAGCAGGACTTGGTGATCATTTGATTCCTGTTGCTACCTCACAAGCAGTAGGTGCCTCACAAGAGTGAGCCCTTCCCTCACCCTTCCCTGCTCAGTCCAGCTTCTTGCCTAAACCTCCTCCAAAGTGTCTTTGTGTCTCAGCGGATCCTCATTCACATTTGTGTGCTCTCTCACTGCCTCAGCCCCAGATGCTGAGTGAGGAGCAGGGAGAAGGGAAAAGCAGTGATTACTCCTGCTGATTGTAGTGGGAGTTTGCCCAAAAAAGGCAGAATAATATTTCTGCTGATAAATTGGTTTTACAGACTCATCTTTACATTTCTGTGTTAAGAACTAAACATTTGAGTCCAGTGTTCAAATAATTTCTCCCTCTCTCTATTATAATCACTGTTTGTGATTATTGTTATAATAATAATAATTGTGATTATTATTATAATCAAATTTCTGAATAACTGGAGAAAGGACACCTAATCCAGCATTGGACCTGTTCTCTCAAGGGCTTTCCAGACCATCCAGCTTAAGGTGGAACACCCTTTATTTCGGATTTAATAAAGCTTTGTTTCAGCTCCAGACTGAACCTTAGGTTTTGTCCTTGCAATGAGATAACTGCTGATTATTGAGTGTTTGATGCAGGAATGTGAACAAAGAAAAGAACATGGTATTTTATTTTCAAGGGCAGATAGGGAAGGAATAGGAGAGCAGGACAGATATCAGCTTGGCAGTGTTCTTATGTTTATGGGCTTGGTTTTCAGTTGTTTGTTGATGTTTTTTGGGTTTTTAAAATCTGTGATTAGTGTTCAGAGAAGCATAGAAATCACAGTAAATAGACTTTGTGTGGGTGTTGATTTCCTGAATCAAGGCTAAATTAAGGATTCATACACAGAGAGTCTCTCTTGCAGTCTGGAAGTTGTGGGGGTCTGCCCAGCATGTGTTGGGCACACAGCCCTCGGCTTATGCTGTTTCTCTGTTGATTGTACTGCGCATCAAAGTGTCTCTTGTCACCACAAATACAGTGCTTTTTGCTGCCTTGTTTAGGAAAAAAAACCCCAACAAACTGAAACATGTTCTAGAAATGTCATGGACTGTTCCTTGGCAGGTCCTGCTGAGCCACCCTGCTGGGTCATGCTTGGTGTGCTTGTCTCAGTGGGCACTTATCACCAGAATCGGGAAAAGCTACGCGAGGGCACATTATGGGGATCTTGAGCAGGTCCTGGTCATTAATGAGCAGCAGACTACAGTGAAGTTTCGATATGGTGTTTCTAGTAATAGAGGAGTGTGCATTATTATGGGATGCTTTCTGCTTATTTACTCTTTGTGAACTCTCTGGTTGCTAATTTTAAGACTACTGTGGGCAACCTGCAATATCATCAGTGAGTAATACGAATCAAGATGGTGATGGGCCCTTGAGAGATTAATGTGCCTTGTTGATAAAAAATGAGAAACCTCCAAGGAAGAGCTCATTGCTTGCCATGTCTTCATCTCAGACCCCTGTCCATGGCCTAAATTTGTTCATAAAGGCCTAAAATTTAAGATGGGATGGATCAGTTTTTAAAAACATAGGCAAATGTTTCATCCAAGCTCGGGAATAACTGGAAAAGTGTCAACATTGCAGCATATGCCAAGGGGAAGATAATTCAATGTTTCAAAAGGGCCTGTACATGGTTATTCATTAACTGATTCCCCAGCCCCCTCCTAAAGAACCATTGACAGAAATGTACAACATAAGCTCAGAAATGTTTACATGTCACCTTAGAAGTGCTAATGAAATGCAGATGATATGAAAGAACATTTATTTACATATCTAAATCTCATTCTCTTTCAGGCCCTGCGATTCCTGTTGGGGTGGATGTGCAAGTTGAAAGCTTGGACAGTATTTCTGAGGTTGACATGGTACGTAATCCTCCTCTAAGCCTCAGTTAATTCTAGGCATAAAAAGACCTTCTGAGTTGAAACCTGTGAGTTGGTAATCATTGGTCAGATGAAAGTAATAGCTGCATCTCCAGAATTCAAAGAGGCTGATAATCAGAGCCAAAGACTTGATAAAACTAGATGATCAAAGTCTTACCTCTCTACCTCCAGATAAAGATTAAAAGTGCGAAGAGAAAAGGGACCTTGAATGGGAGAGTAATCAGTGCTGTGAAAGATCTATCACAGCTAAAAATATAAGCAGCTGCATATGAAGATTTGAAGCTATATGATAAAATTCACATAAGCTGTGTTTGCTGCAAGAGTTGTCTTCCTTAGGGAACCATTCAATTCACATGAGTGTCACACACACTTTACTGTTTGGTTTGGAATTGTTTTATGGTGATTTTTTAAATTTTTAATTGTAGGAAATGGAA